AAACCCTATTTTCCTTCCCTCACTTCCATCCACCTGCCCGGCCATTCCCTGCCGCCTACCTTCTCTCCTTCTATATAACCTTCCCTCCCCCTTTCCCTCAGTCCCGGGTCGCTCCTCTCCGCCTTGGGGCGGACCAGGACGGTGGGAGGTTCTGAGGTGCGTCATAACGCGACCCCCTTCCCCCGCTCCTCCTTACTTTGATCCGGTGGGGGCAGGTGTTGGAGTAGCCTCACCAAGCCGGAGCAGCCTGACCTGGCTGCAGCAAGAGACTAAATTGGGTAATTTCCTAAGCGGGTAGAAGGACCCACCCTCCCTCTCCACCCTCCGCCCACCCTCCCAGTCGCTATAGAAACTGTTTCTACCCTTCCCAAGCAAAGCTTTTATGACTCTAGAGCTGAGGATGGGCCCTGGCTCCCAGCAATTAAATAACCATCTTGTTCTGCCCTTGCCCCTCTAAGGGCAGGAAATTATATGAAAAGATATTTTTTTCGTAATCTAAATGGAAATATGATTATTGAGGGTATATGTACAGGTGAAAATTACTAAAGAAAATAATAATGCGTTGTTTCATTCTTTGTACACATATTGCCAAACACCTAGCTGCAGTGTCTGGCATATAGTAGGTGCTGGAAAAATACTTGGTGATTGATTAAATTTTTATTTCCTTACATTACAATCGGTTCAGTCTTTTTTCAGTCATGTCTGACTCTTCATGACCCCATTTGGGGTTTTCTGGGCAAAGAAACTGGAGTGATTCCCTTCTGCAGTTCATTTAACAGATGAGGAAACTGAGGCAAACAGGATTAAGTGACTTGCCCAGGGCCACACAGTTACTAAGTATCTGGGACCAGATTTGAATTCATGAAGATGAGTCTTCCAGATTCCAGGCCTGGCACTCTATACAGGTGCCACCTAGCTGCCCTTAAGAAGAATTGTTGTTTAAAAAAAAAAGTACTTGATTACATTAACAAAAATTCTGGAAATCAAAAAGAACAAAATTGAACTTTCTAGTAATTTTCTTATAGAATTTGTTAACATGAAAAATATAGCCTCAGCTCGGAGGTGTATAGAATACATACATACATACATACATACACACACACACACACACTCACACATATATATATGTAAAAGGGTAAGGAGGCAGTAAGGACATCTTGGTGGCACAGTGGATAGAGTACCAGGCCTAGAGTCAGGAAGACTCACCTTCATGAGTTCAAATCTGGCCTCAGACACTGAGCAAATTACTTACCCTCACTTGTCTTAGTTCCTCATCTGTAAAATGAGCTGGAAAAGGAAATAGCAAATCACTCCCAGTATCATTACTAAGAAAACCCCAAAAAGTCAGACACAACTGAACAAGGAAGCAGTATGTACAAAGGGGGGGAGTATGTATACACTACTGTGTGTGTGTGTGTGTGTGTGTGTGTGTGTGTGTATTATATATAATACAAAGAGTTGTGTCTGCATGAATATTATGAAGGAAGTGCCAATTAGATTACATAAGTAATGAATAGTAGAAATATAAGTACTATTTTAAGCCTAATATGATGCCCTTTCTCACAAAGATATAAACCAACTATCCTAAGCCTGTTGAAATTTGTCATGATTTGTTATAACTCATTTATGAGTTACATAACTGGCCCTGATCAACTCTGTGAAAGTGCTTCTCCAGTGCTCCTTGGAAGAATAGAGATTCTTGTGTCAGTGATGCATTGTTGCTGTTCAGCAGTGTCCGCCTCTTCGTGACCCCATTTGGTGTTTTCTTGGCAAAGATACTGGAGTGATTTGTCATTTCCTTCTCCAGCTCTTTTTTCAGATGAGAAAACTGAGGCAAATAGGATTAAGTGACTTGACCCGGGTCACCCAACTAATAACTGTCCAAGGTCAGATTTGAACTCATTAAGAGTCTTCCTGACTTCAGTCCCAGCACTCTATCCATTGTGCCACTCAGCTGCCCCTCAATGGAGCATAAGTTTTGATATATTCTACCAAGCAGGAAAAGCTTTAAGTAGGTGTTGGGTAATGGATTCTGTGTGGCTGTCATCTGAGTCAGCTTTAAGTTTGGGGAAGTTCAGCATCATAAGACTGATTATTTATTTATTAGACCACAGCAATTCATGAAAACCATCCAAGAAAGGAAACCACACATCTTGTAAGGTACTAAAGGGCTAGTTCTAAAGTTATGAGAAACCTTTTGAAAAGCTATTACTTAATATAAATATAGGAAGGACAACTAAATACTTGACAGAGAATAATAGGCCTATGTTATTTCAGAAATATTTTTTACCTTACCTTCTTTCAGCCTACAACATGTTAGACAGAAAGTTAAAGAGCCACATTTATTTCATTTATGCTAGCACATGCGTTGCATTGTCATGGATTGGATTGTTGTCATGTGCGTCAGCACTGTATGTTAATACAGAAATGACTCCAAGTTTCTCTCTGATGTTTTTACACCCCCTACATTTCCCACTGTATTCCTGCTCCTTCACTTCTCAGGGAGCAAACTCTCATAATGGAGAATAAAAAGAGGAGGAAAGAAAGAAAAAAAAAAACTGCAAAACTAACCAATCTATCAAAAAACCCTGACATTCTCTGCAATATTCCATACTTATGGACCCTTCTGCAAAGGAGAGGTGTTTTCTCATATCTTTTCTTTGGAGCTAAATTTGGTCATAATTTTGCAGTATTCAGTTTTGTTTCATTTTTGTTCAGAGTTAACTAGGTGGTGCAGTGGATAGTGCACTAGTGGGTCTAGGCAAGTCACTTACCTTCTTTCTGCTACAGTTTTTTAACTGTAAAATTAGAATAATTAAATCCTATCTCCCAGGGTTTGCTGGGAAGATCGAATGAAGTAATACTTGTAAATTGCCTGGCACGTAGTAGGTACTTAATTTTTTTTTTCTCTTCCCTTCATTTACATTGCTGTGTGTATTGTGTATCTTGTTTTTCTGGTTCTGCTTACTTCATTTAGCATCAGTTCAGTAAGTCTGCATACTTTTCTGTATTCATCATGTTCATTTTTTATAGCACAGTAGTGTTCCATTACATTCATATTCCAATTTGATTAGTCGATCTTTAATTGATAGGTTATCTACTCTGTTTCAGTTCTTTGCAACTACAAGAAATGTTGCTATAATATTTTAACATCTATGGGGCCAAATGACTATATTTTTAACACCAACATTCCTCCAGTGGTGATGCATTGGTTTTGACTCACATAACACTACAGTAACTGAAGTTGAGCATTTATCACCCTAAGAGCAATCTCTAGGCAACATATTACAAACAAGAAATTACTTCATTCTCACTGTGACCTCCAATCCCTCAAAAAGCTCACATTCTCCTTAAATTCCTTCTTACTATTGAGAGCACCACCATCCTTCTACTCACTCAGATTTGCAACCTCATAGTTGTCCTCATCATTGACTCTTCCTTCTTCCTCATTCTTCACATCATGTTGATTCTACCTCTACACCAAGGAGATCATAGATCCATTGGAGTATGTCAGCACATGTTACATTATGGTGGATAAAGTATATGCTCTACAGTTAGTAAAAACATCATGTTTATAAAATTATTCAGTCTTTCCCATTCCCTTCAGCTGCTACAGCCTTTCCCCTTACCTGTCTGATCACTCTTTCTCAATCTCCATTGCTGGACCTTAATTCAGGGAACATTCACTATTTTGGGTGTTCCTCAAGGCTCTTCTCTCCTCTACTATCTCCCTTAGTGATCTCATTGGCTCTTATAAGTTCAATTACCATCTCTATGCAGACAATTCCAAGATCTGAATATCAAGACTATATGTAGTCTCTTCTAAGCTTCTATCCCACATGACATCTCAAACTCGATGTTCTCAAACACATCTAAAATTGAACTCATCTTTCCTTCCAAGCCCCATCCTCTTTCCAACTTTACTATCACTGTTGACACTACTACTATTCTCCTAATCATTCAGGCTTGCAATCTCAAGTGACCTTTTTGCTCACCCACACTCATCCCACACAACCGTGTTCTTTTTACCTTCACAGCATTTCATATACATCTACTTTCCACTCAGACAACCTCCCCCCTCAACTACTCCAACAGTCTTCTTCTGATTGGTCTCCCTTCCCTCAACCCTTCCCAATCCAATCCTTCTACATAACTGCTGACATGATCTATGCAGCGCTGACCATGTCATCTCCAACCCCCCTACACCCCCATATTCAATAAACTCCAGTGGCTCCTTATTACCTCCAGCATCAAATATAAAGTTCTAATTAACATTTAAAGCCCCTCAGGACCTGACTCCTTCCTACCTTTCTGGTCTTCTCACATTTTAATCAAACTGCACCAACTTCTTGCTATTCCTCACATACTACACTTCATCATACATCTCTGTGCATTGTACTGGCAATCCCCTATACCTAGAATGTTCTCCTTGGCTTCTTTCAAGACTCAGCCCAGATCCTGCCTTCTACAAGAAGCATTTCCTTGCACACACATACATACCCCCCAACCTCCTGCCATTGCCAGGACCATTCCTGAGATAACCTTTCACTTACACTGTATATACTGTATGTACTGTGACTTGCATGTTGTTCCTCCTATTAGAATATGAGCTCCTTGAGGGCAGGAACCATGTTTTTTCCCTTCTTTGTATCTCTAGTGCTTAGCCCACAGTGCTAGGCAACTAGTGAATTCTTGTTGACTATGTATCTTATAATGTACCTATGTTACCTCCTCTATCAGAATGTAAGTTCCTTGGGCTATTTTTGCCCTTTTTTATATCCCAAGGCACAGTGTATGGGGCATAATGAACCCTTTAAAAATGTTTGTTGATTGAAGGCTACAATTTATCACAATATGTAAGATATTAGAGCAACTGGTGGATACTAGCATCAAGAAAAGCATTTCATGAAAAAGAAAGCCAAAAAAATTGCTAGTTTCACATTTATTCATCTTTTCTCTAGAAGGAAGGGCCTGACAATATTGAAGCTTTATAAATTGTCATGAAAATTTATTTATACATTATACACAACTGTAATTTGAGCCATAAGTCACAATTCAGCAACTACTTAAAAATATTAAAGTTACACATTTTTATTAGAAAAATATTTTGCTTATTAAAATGAAACATCCTTACAATAAAACATATTATTTAGCTTAATGAGCTTCTACAAGATAAGTGTTACATTAAGATAGGGAAGTGTAATCGTAATTTTCACTTTCCCAATAAACTCTACAAAACTACATTGACATAAATTACACTAAGCCATAATTGGCTCTAAGTATACATCTGTTACTACATTATATCATACATTTAGTACTTCCAAAACTAACATCACCTGACTTGTTATTCCAAATTAAATATGTGTTCTTTAGGAATAAACAAACTAGAAGAGAGTTCTTTACAAAGTTCTCTTTGCAATCATGAATAGACTAGCAACATCCTTATTTAAGTTTTTAGATTTAAGATTTTCTGCATCAAATTGAAAATAACTATATTTCAATTATCATTACCCTTTTCAAATAAGAACATTCTTTCAAAACTAGAATTCATTTATCAAAGATTTTCAGGTACTGCTGGCAGTTGGATGGAGAGGTTTAACGCGTGCAAATCTTGACAGGCCAAGTCGGAGACCATGACTGGGAGACTTGACAGAAACTCCTCCAAGTCGGTTGCTGCTGCTGCTTCCTGATGAGGCTAAAAGAGAAACCATCGCGTGTTGCTGGAATTATAAGTCATCTTTCCAAAAATCACTTGTAGGGCAAAAATTTCAAAAAATCATTATGATTCGCTATTTATGTGCATGGCTGTTCAAAGTATGAGTGTGATCATTTTAAAATAAAGTACAAAGGAGCAGAAGAGACAATAAGTTACATGGACCTCAAAAGGAAAATGTAGCAAATAAACTTTATCTTCAAACAATCTTTGAATCCTGTGGTGATTCAAACATTTTCTCGACCCAGAAAAAGGTGAGATAAGTATGGCCAACTCTAAACTCTCGATTTTGGGGTATCTGGTGGCACAGAATCTATCTTTGACTTCATTAGGTTATAGCTAATTTCCTTTGTTTCGCTTTTAATGCTCTTTGCAATCTGGTCCCCACCAACTTTCCAATTTCACTATAGATTGTTCCCCCTTCCTGCACTCTAGCATCTAGGCAAGCTGTCCTCCTTGCTGCTCCACACACAAGACGTTCCATCTTCTGTTTCTGTGTCTTTGCATTGGCTGCCACCTAAGCCTGGAATGCTCTCCCTTCTCATCTCCACCTTAAGAGAATCCCTTACTTCTTTTTAAGATTCAATTTAAATGCTTTCTTCTATAGAAAATCATTCCTAATCCCCTTAACTGCTAATACCCTTCATCTTTAAATGCCCTTGTATTTACTTTGTATTTATTCTACATATATTTATATATGTTGGTGCTCAGAAAGGATCTTGTGGTCCTTCAGGGCAGAGATTGTTTGACGGTTATCTTTGTACCCCCAGCATCCAGCACAGGAGGTGATGAGTAAATGTTTACTGATTAATTACAATAGTAAGTCCTCCTTTTCCTGTTTTCCCTTCTCAATTTCTTTTCAATTCTGCCACAGAAATCATAATATTGTAGGACTAGAAGAAACTGACCAATTAAGAAATCGAGGTGAGGAAGGGTTAGGTGATTTACCTAAGGTAAGTTTCTAGCCTAGATCTTCCACTAGCTAGCTGTGTTCAGCAAATAACTACTATCTCTTCCTATCTATTCCAAATGCAGTCATTCTAGGCCAAGCTATTCTTACTTCTTACTGTTATTTCTGCAATAACTACTTTATTAACATCCCTGCCTTCAGTTTCTCCCCACACTAGTCTATACAGAACAATGATACCATATTATGACCACTAGTATAAAACCTTGAATCACTTTCCATTGCTACCCTTAGTGTGGATGACTAAGTAGAAAAGTATTAAGGCTAACAAAATTTTATCTGAAATTAAAAGAAACAAGGCTAGAGCTAGCAATACAAAGTCAGTCTATAAAAAAACACTAAAAGTACAAACTTCACCCAACTATAGTAATTTCTGATCCTTGACTTTTCTAAATGATGTAACTTCTCTATAATAATACATTGTACACTAGCTAAACTGCTCACATAGAAAACAAAATAGGGATCCTACTGTATCCTATAGTTAAATGAAAATGTATTCAAGGAAATTATGAATGACAGTGATATCAGGCTGAAATTTTTCAGACCATGAAGGAAAAGAAAGAAATAGACATAAAGCATGAAAGATATAGAGATAATCTATGCATCTTCTCTTATCCCACAGAAGGGTATGTCACGTGAATAAATGGGGATGAAGATGCAATAAGCTGTTGTTCAAGGTGCTTGGACCTCAGTCACCTAAATCAAGTGGTAAAAGGCTGAGGTACTAATACAAAACATTAAGGATGGAACTAGTGTCCATAAATGATTTAACTTATATTCTCTGATCTTGCAGAAACCTGCCTATTAGCAGAAAAGTCCTTCCAGGAAACATGCATTTTATATGGCACACAGTGAGACTGCATTGCTCTTATGCTTTGGACTGTCCTTAATCTGAATTTATAGGAAAAGATATTTTCACTTTGCCAAATAAACTCTACAAAATTAGATGGATATGAATTGACTTAAGCCACAATTTGCTACAAGTATGGTAAGCGAAGTACAGTAAGGAGTATAGTAAGTATAGTAAGGAATACTATTGTCAGAGGTGGGATCTGAACTAATCTTTCTAATTCCAAGCCCAACACTCTATCCATTATTCTAATCTACATCTCAGCAGAGTGAGGGCATCTAAAGTTGATGACATTAAGAACCAATTTAAGGGAACTTTTAATGTTTAATCAGAGAATAAGAAACCCTAGGAGAGCAACAGTAGCTGTCTTTAAGGTATATGAAAGGCTATCATGAGGAAGAGGGATTAATTAAATGCACTGCTTGACACTAGATGACAGCCCAATAGCAAGAGTGCTAGATTGAAAACAAGGGGATCTGGATTCAAATCCCTACTCTGCCACCTACTATCTGTTTGACCTTGGGCGGGTCACACTATTTTAAATCTTCATTTCCTCATCTGTAAAGTGAGAGAGTTGGAAGTTGGATAAGATCATCCCAAAGGTCTCTTGCAGTGTTGTATCACTGATAATAAGACATTTCAAATACGCAAATTTAAGCTTGAAGGAAAAACTTGTAACATTCGGTGCTATTTTAAAATGGAATGGGCTGGTTTGTCAGGTATTGGATGACCTCACTGACTTCAAAGAAAAGGCTAGGGGACCATTTGTAAGGTGAGGAGTAGTATGGACTCTTGTTCAGGGATGGGTTGGACTAAATGATCTCAGAGGTCTCTTCAAAGCCTAAGCGACTACAGTTCTAAACTAGATGAGTCTCTACACTGAGGACTTCCTAATGACCAGTGACTTCACTTCCCTAGACTTCAGCTCATCATTTCTCAAAGGAGAGAGTTTGACTCAATGCTACTTTCCTGAGTCTAAAACCAATCATCACTCTCTTAAGGTGCATTCACGGAAGAGGTGAAACATGAGCTTTGCCTAAAAAGAGCTCAGAAAAGAGACAAAGAGCAAAGTTATACATACAAAGTACGTTCAAAGAATGAGAAGAATATTTTGGCTTAAAGTTTATACAAGAGACTAGGGGAGACAAGGATGCAGCAGTAATCAGAGACCAAACTGAATGCCAGGCTAAGGAGTCTGGACTTTATTTCATAGGCAATAGGAAGTGATAATATCACTTAAGCTAATCTAGTAACAAATATGTAGAAGGACTGAAAGCAAAGGAGATTTGTGACCAAAAAAAAAAAAAAAAACCAAAACCAAACTAGTTAGGAGGCTATATTTAATTCACATGTAAATGGTGAAGACCTAGATTAGGGTGGAAGCAGTGGAAATGGAAAGAGAGGGATAAGTTTAGGTGAAATTACAAAAGAACAATGGATAGAACTTGATCACTGACTTTGCTATGGAAGGGAGAGGGAAAGAATAAAAGAGGAAAAAAAGCAATCAAGCAAATCTAACAAATATATCAACAGTCTGATGGTGTACAATGTAATTTTCCACACTACAGTTGTCCCCTTCAACCCCAGCAAGAGGAAGCTAACACCCAGAAAGGCTAAGCATCTAAAGCCATTCAGACAAATAAGGAACATAGCTGGATCTCAAACTCTAGGACCTCTTGCTTCCAGTCCAGTGTTCTTTTTGCTGAAGTGACACAAACTACTAAATGTCCTGAAGTTTCACAGCCAAATTCTGCAGATAAGAACCTGCTAACTAAACAGACACATGCAGCCACTAATTTCTCCAAGTACTATGATTACTTGGATAAATAAAAATTCCTCACCTGGTGGGACCCATCTGGGCCTCTTAGATTCAGCTAAAGGGCTGAGTGCTTGTAATGGCTTCCTAACAAGCTTTGAAGACAGGCAAGCTTCTTTTGGTGCTGGTTTTGATTCAACAGGTGCTGGATGAGAGACCACTGGAGCTACTTGTTTGAAAAAGAAAAAAGGCAAAAATAAGCCAAATTGATTTTCATACTCAAAAGATTACACAATTATTTTTTGAAAATCAAGCAACTCATAGGAAATTACAGTAATATCAGTATCTTGGAGGCTCAGCTTAAGTAACAGCTCCTTCAAGAAGTTTTAATTCCTCAAGTGTTTAAAAAACAAGTTGATAATCTTAAAGAAAGTAGTTTCAGTGGTGAGGTTGGAAAGAAATAATTTCCAGTTGAATGCATTTTAAAGGTTCCATATTTTCGAGAGCAAAAACAAGGAGTTATCAGAAGTTAGCATAGTTGAATTTTAATGAATCAGACTGCAGTCACTTTTGTGAAAGTATTTTTAACCAGAAACTTGCATTTCCAAAATAATTAGAATAAGGACAATTTTAAAAGAAAAGAATCAATAGAGCAAACAAAATATACTTCTATGGCAAAGCTCAATGTTTCAAATCAAGCTCACCTAAACTGTGAGAAGTCTTAGCAGTTTTCTTCTCTTTCTTTTCCACTGGGGCTTTGACCTTAGCACTTCTCTTTTTATTTTCTTTGGCTTTATTTTTCTTTGTAGTAAAATCTTCATCATCTTCCCTCTCACTTTCACTGAAATCAGAATTACTTTCACCTGAATCAAAGGAAAAAATTAATTAGGTTCAGAACAGGAAAATGATTTATAAAATAACAGAAACATTGTATAAAGACAAACAACTCTGAAAGTCTTATCAAGTGTAATCAAAGAAATGACCAACTATTATTCTGAAGAGATCTGGAGCTGGGACCCCAAGAATGCCAAGGCGATGTCGCCTGAAACAAATTCACACACTCAAGCCTTCTCTTAGTCAAGTGGCAAAAAGTTCATTATGACACCAACAGAAGCAGGCAAACGTTCTTAGGGAAACTGCAAGCTAGTTATTAGGAGGGTGCTGAGGCTTATATAGAAGAGGGACAAGGGAAAGGAATGCCAACGATGCTAATTAGGTAAACTAGGGACTTCAAGGGATATGCTAGAGGTCCAGGTGTTTTTGGGAACAGGTGCCTATGATCTACGGATGGGAAAATGCAGGGAGTCCAAAGAGATAACTTTGTTGATACCAGACACTGAGGAAGTTGTCAACAGAGGCATGGACCCTGGGGATCTGGTTCGAGGGAGAGTCCTTGGGTCAGCCAGGGACAAAAATCTTTGGGCCAGTGTCTGTTCTGATAAGAGAATGTGTTCTGTAACAAAAGAAAATTTTCTTACAGGGCAAGGACCTATTGAGAAATTGGGAGGTTTCCAGAGATATGATTAGAACTAGGGCCCGAGCACCCCATCAGTTCCAGAGGACTAATGATAAAACATGGTACCAATCTCCTGACAAAAAGGTGATGGACTTGAGCTGCAGACTGAGACCTATTTTTTAGACATCACCAATCTGGGAATTTTTTGCTTGACTATGCATATTTGTTAGAAGGGTTTTGTTTTTCTTTCTTTTTCGACTGGTGAGGGGAGGAGGTGGGAGAGAGAAAATGTATTTTTGAAAGGGGTAGATTTTTGTTAACTTTTTAAATGAATTGGGTTTTCCACCTCTGGTTTAGGTGAGTTTTCTAATTTTTTTTTTTAATTATTAGCAGTTTTAACAAGACATCTACCAATTTTAGTCTCACCTTGGGAGAACAGATTTGTGAGTTTTAGTCACTTGAAAGAATTCAGATATATTTCCTAGCATCTGAGAGACATTAAACATGAGACATCACATACAAGGAAAATGGTCAGGAGCACTAATAATTCTGATGCCCAAATTCACCTGTTACATGGAATAAATTACAGGATTGTAACTAAACCTAAACAATCAGCTATCCTTTCAAGACTAGTTCAAGTATTGTTATCAAAACACAGGACTCTTTTACTATCACATACATGACATAGAGATTTGAATAGAGAAATTCCAGAAGTATCTGGAAATTCAGTTAACTTCCATACTGTGAATATAACTGACAAAACCCTGTATCTATTTTCTGTTTAGGTAAATCCGACAATCCTCAAACCCCAAGCCTGAGCAGAACAAATGATTTTTTTCTGGATAACTGGCTAGCCAAAGGTGATCTAAAAGTACATGGAGTACTTTATGTACCAAAAAATGTTTCTTTTGATTTTTTTAAAATTGTGAACAGATGCAAAAAAAAAAAATTGTGAATAGATGATTAAGCTACAGGGATGAACAAAGTTCACTGTTGATTCTAATCTTCATAGCTATAATTACAGACACTATTATTATACTGCATAGTAATTAGACAAATGGGGTTAGCAGTTTCCATATATGACTGTAGTTGGTATTACTTGGGCAAAGCCAAACTGTTTGGAATAAACCAAAAGTTTTGGGAAGGGAGCAGGACACTGCTCTGAAGACTCAGACTTTCAGTAAAACTCAGTGGGATGAAATCCATGACTAAATTAAGAATCTGAATGAGTCTACTTTATTCAAAAGAAAGAGGATAGGAAACCTCTCTCTAGCACTGGAGACCAGCAATTGTTTTGCAACTTATACTCTTAGAGAGTTGCTTGGTTTCCTAAGAGGTTAAGTGACTTAAGTATGTGTCTGAAATGAGTCTGGAACACAGATTATAATGACTAACAGTCCAGCTTTCTATCCACCGTGTGTTGGACATTTTAAATTGGACGTCCCAGAGAAATCTTAAATTCAGTATATCTAACACTGGACTCATTATCTTCCCCCATGCAACCCTCCTTTTTTCCAAAATTCCCTATTTCTGTCGAAGGCACCACCATTATTCCACTCTCCTAGGTTCATAATCTTGGCATTATCTTAAACTCCCTATATTCCCATCACTTCACATAGCCAATCAGTTGCCAAATCTTTCCATTTCTACCTTTACATCTCTCCCATTCTACCCTTCTTTTTCATTCACACAGCTACCACTGTGTTTCAGGCCCTCACTATCTCTTAGCTAGAATATTGCAAGTCTTCTAACAGACCTTCCTGTCTCAAATTTCTCAACATTCTAATACATTTCCTGAAGAGTAATCTTCCTTAAAAGAAGATTTGACCATATGATTCACTCACTCAATGAACTCCAGTAGCTTCCTATTATGTCTAGGATTAAAATATAAACTCCTGTTTAGTTTTTAAAGCGCTACACAACCTGGCCCCAACTGATCTCTCCAACCTCATTGGGCATTATTTGCCCTTCTACCTGTGATCCAGCCAAACTAGCCTCTCCTCTCTATTCCTCACTCATGACACTCCATCTCCCTGCTTTTGTCCTGGCCACGCCCCATACCTGGAAGGCATTCCCTAGCTAAATCAAGTCTGTGCCAGGCAACGTATTGAGCACTGAGATACAAAGAAAGGCAAAAAACAATCCTGGTTCTCAAGGAGCTCACAGTCTAATGGGGGTGACAACATGATTACAACTATGTATAAACAATAGTTAAAAGACATTTAGTCTCAGAGTCCATCTCTTAAAATGATGCTCCTTTCCTCATTCCTCCCTCTCAAATAAGGGGCAAAATCTTACTTGACATAATCCTTAGGTCTTTAACAAGACAAAAGCAAATGCATTAATAAGAAACAAAAAGGCACAGAAAATGTTTTTGTTCTGTGATCTCTTAAAAGTCTGCCTGAAGTTTCACCCTCTTTTGCCCTCTTTTCATTTCACATTTGTAAATACTGTGTATAAATCGCTGGTCTTGTCAATGAAATATTTTTATAAATCATTGCAGCATACACAGTAACTCACAGAGTTTTAAAATAAGATACTACTTACTTGTAAAGTCTGGTTCAGAGTCAGTACTATCATCATCTTCACTATTTTTTCTAAGTAACTTCCTCTGTTGTATCATAGCTTTGGATGCAGCTTTTCTTGGCCTATGACCAGCATGAGAATCATCTTCCTCAGTAATTTTATTTAAATCTAAAGAGTGACATAAAAATCAATGGAAACAAGTTTGTGGTAGATTTATTCTAACCAATTAGGTAAAATATTTGTATTTTCAGCAATACCCAAAACAAATTGATTACTTTTCATTATTTCCTATGAACAAAACAGTTGCTGTTGATGTACCCCAAACTTACTGAAGCAAACACCATCTACGCTGCAATTAGAGAGGTGACGAGAAATATTCATTTTTTCAGATTCAGCAGTATCACATTTTTCAACATCTAGAAAGAACACGAAGAAACTTTAATGTTCACACCATAAAATGCAAAGTTTAGGAACACTGGGAGGCTAGGACTAAAATTCTGAAAGATAAAGTAGCCTAAATTTAAAAAAAGAGAAATTAAACTGCATTTAATTATAGAGAAATCAATGCTTCTAGTATACTGCTATTTAATAAAGTTTGATTCCAAATTTTACTAAATATTCCCAGAATACATTTTTACTCTAAGAAATCTAAGGAAATTCTACATTCATCCTACTCTCCTACAAGAGGTAAGTAAGTTATTTCTTAACTGCAGGTATAGTAAGTACAATGGCATTCCTCATTATAAGTTTCTACTTTTATCACCGACAACTAAAGATTTACTAAAAACAAAGCTACAAATTTTAATTACGTTTACGTAAGAAAATACCTGAATCCTCACAAAAAGTAAGCTAAATGTTCTGAATGAGCAGAACTTAAATTCCAACAAATAAATAAAAATTGTGCAGTGAAGACTACAGTCAACCCAGACCATTAAGTGCACCACTTGTTGCAATGCTGCTAGAAAATAATTAAAGATTTAATTCAATATAGGAATTCTGAATTCATAAATCACTTGAGCCTACCAAAGACAGGCAGAATGGTGTAATGGAAGAAATACTGGACTTGAGTTAGGAGAGACTTAGATTCCCATCCTGCTTCTTATACTTACTAGCTGTTACTCTGGACCAGTCACTTCACTTCTGAGCCTCAGTTTCCTCATCTGCAAAATGGGGATAACAATACCTGTAGAACCTATGTCCTAAGGCTTTTGTGATTCTCATATTAAAAAATAATGTAAAATGTTTTGTAAATCTTAAATTGCTACATAAATATCATACATAATAGCTACCAAATATGCCACCTAAATAAACTCATTAGTATACTTAAAAATACATATTAAACAAATCTAGACTTGGGAGAGTAAGGTGTGGGGAAAGTAGGTGCCCAGGAATGAAAAATATAGGAAAAAGATTGTTCAAATTCACTTAATTTGAGGTGGAAAAATTCTCAGTGTTACATTAGAAAGTAATCTGAAATAAGCTAAGTGGTATAGTGAATACAGCACTGGATTAGGATTCAGCAAGATCTGAATGTGAATCCTGCCTTAGATACTCATTGTCTGTGTGAACCCAGGCAAGGCACTAAACCTCTCTCAGCCTCAGTTTCCTCATCTGCAAAATGGGGGTTATGATAGCACCTAACTCACAGGGTTGTTATGAGGATCATATTGATATAGCAAATGCAAAGTACTTTGTAAACCTTAAAGTATTATATAAATATTAGTTATTATTATCATTATCATTTCAAGAACCAAGTGATCAGGATTCTCTTCTGGGATAAGAAAGCAGAATAAGAAATAAAGGTTACTCAGCCTCCTGAAAGCAGCAGAATCCAGAAGACCACTCTGCAAAATGCTATACTGAAAGCCCTCATAAATTTAAAGTCCAATATATAGTGTTGTCAGAAGAACAGTCATAGTGGTCCCTCAGTGAAGAGCTATTCAAGAGAGCAATAAAGAAGAGATTGGTTTTAAATATATGGAAATATTTTAAAGATCAGTGATTTCAATGATCAGGGCCTGCCCCCAAAGCATTCGACCTATCTATGACTTAGTAGAAAAGCCCAAGACAGTTGCATTAGGCACACAGAGGTTAATTTGCCCAGGGTCACACAGTTAGTGTCAAGAAGCAAGATTTCTGACCCTAAGACTACTACTCTATTGTCTATACTATGCTGCCTCTCCAATACATATGTGCATAAAATAATCTTTACCTTGAGATTTCTGCATATCAGTAGTTGCTACAGAAGGTTCCTTCACGGATAATGCTAGTGCAACTTCTAAATCTCTCTTATAGAGTTTGTCATCCAAGGCCATCCTAAAATATAGACATGCAAATAACAATAATAACTATATTTGCCAGTCATTTCAATTAAAAAGCACAGTTGTGAGCCTTTCTTGAAATGGTTTTCATGATTGTTACTTTTACAAGCAATTTTTGAAAAAACTAACTTTCTGCTAATTGTATTTTGATAGTACATTTCTAAAATGTAACAATCTTCTATCAAATACCCTCATAAGGGTCTGCTATCCAAGACATATATAGCAAACTAACACAAATGACTAAAAGTAATTTCTCCCTTGGTTAGGTGATCAAAGAATATGATCAAAGAGTTCTCAAAAGAAGAATCACAAAAAATTGACAACTATAACAAAAATCACTCCAAGTCACTAAGAATAAGAGTAAATCAGAACAACCTTGAGGTTTTACCTCACACTTTAAGCCTGTCTGGAAGAGATGACAAAAAGGGGAATAGCTAGAGGACTTAAATATAGGCACATTAATCCACTGTTGGTGGAGTTGTGAATTGGTCCAACTCCTGAAAAATAATTTGAAATCATGCTAAAAAAAGAAAGTTATTAAAATAATGTCCATATGTGTGAGCCAGAGAATCCACAGGTGACCACAAGGAGGTCAGTAATAAAAAGTCCCATCTGCACCAAAATCTTTGTAGTAGCAGAGAGCTAGAAAAAAAGTAGATGCCTTTTGAATGGGAATGACAAATTACGGTACACGAATGTAATAAAACACTGCAAAAAATGAGTATGATGAATAAAAAGAAGCATGGCAAGGCATATGAACTGATACAAAATCAGAGGATCACATAGTCATACAGCTAGAGTTAGAAGACACTTCAGAAGCCATCTAGTTAAAACCTCTTATTTTACAGATGAGGAAACTGAGACCCAGGTAAACCTCAGAGAGAAGAGAGTATCCAGACAGGCAAAGTGATTCCCAGTGTCAAGAAGGAGAGGACTGAGAAAAGGCCAGATTTGCCAATGAAGGGAGCACTGGTAACTTTGGAAAAAAGGATGATGCAGTAGAAGGCAGATTTCAGAGGGTTAGGAAGAGAGTAAGAGGAAGGAAGTGGCAGTCCCAAGTACAAGAACCCGTTTTAAGGAGTTCAGCTGAGTAAGGGAGGAAAGACATAGGACAACAGCTACAGGGGAAGGCTGATTGGTTGGTTATTGCCTTTCGAGATCAAAGAGGACAAAAATGACATTATGATGTTGGGGTCATGGTACAGTGTGTCCAGCTGTGGCTGATCAGACCAATGCTGGCTCAGAAGGTTCTAACACAGGTTGGGCACAAATGATCCATATGACCATTTGCAGTAGAGATGTTTCAAAATTTGCACATCTCATGTTTATTTTGAGCTACTACAATTCTGCTTTGCTCAGAGTACAGCACCTTCTTTGATGCAGGCATGCCATGCTGGGTGGTCCTGTGCCAGTGTCTCCCATGTCTCACCGTTAATTGCAAAGGTCTTCAGAGAGACCTAAGATTGTCCATTTCTTCTTCTGATCTCTGTGTGAGTGCTTGCCTTGTGTGAGTTCCCCATAAAATAGTCTTTTAAGAAAATGTATGTTTGGCACTTGAATGTGGCCAGCCCATCAGAGTTGCATTCTCTGCAGTGGAGTTTGAATGCTCGGCAGTTCTGTTCAAGAAAGGACCTCAGTGTCCAGTACTTTATCTTGCCAGGTAATCTTCAGAATCTTTCTAAGACAATTCAAATGGAAGTGATTCAGTTTCATGGAATGGCACTGGTATATTGTCCAGGTTTCACAGGCATATGATAATGAAGTCAACACAACAGCTCTGTTGACTGTCAGTTTGGTATGTGCCCAATACCTCTTCTCCCCCACACTTTTCTTCAGAGCCTCCCAAACCCTGAGCTAGCTCTGGCAATACACATGTTAACCACGTCATCTACGTGTACATCCCTGGAAAGTACATTGTTAAGGTAAGTGAACTTATCCACAGCACTCAAGATTTCCCCATTTGCTGTAAACAATGGTTCTGCGTATGGATGGTATGGTGCTGGCTGGTGGAGAACCTGTTTTCTTAGTGCTGTCAGGCCAAAATTAGCACAAGTGGCAGAGAACTGATCCATACTCTATTGCATCTCAGCTTCAAAGGCTCCACTGAGTGCACAGTCAGCTGCCAAAAAAAAAAAGTCATGCACCAACTCTCCCTCTACTTTAGTCTTGGTTTATAGCCTTTTCAAGTTAAATAATTTACCATCAGTGTGGTAGCTGACCTTGATGCCATTTTTTGTCATCGAAGGTATCCAATAACATTGCTGAAAACATCATGCTAAAAAAGCATGGGAGCATGCACAGAGCCTTGCTTCACTCCATGGTGACTGGGAAAATGTGAGAGCATCCTCCATTTTTCAGAACCCATGCAAACATGTCATCATGCAACTGTTGTACAATACTGATGAACTGCTCCAGGCAACCAAATTTTGCCACTATCTTCCATAAGCCCTCATAACTGACAGTATCAGAGGCCTTAGTCAAATTGATGAATGTTATGTACAGACCTCTGCTCTGTACCTCTGTTCTGCTCCTGCCATTTCTCCTGGAGTTGTTGGGCAGCAAACATCACATCAACTACTCCTCAGCTCTTTCTGAAGCCACAATGGCTCTTGGGCAGATGACTATTGTCCAACTGAAGGATCAGCACATTAAGGATGGCTCTGGAAAGAATCTTGCCAGCAATGACTAAGAGAGACCCCCCCCCCCAATTGCCACAGGACTTGTTTCTTTTACCTTTAGAGAGATGGGCAATGGAGGTATCCTTGAACTCTTGGGGAATTAATCTCCTCTTGCCATATAACTGGAAGATTCCAGTCAGCTTTTGTATGAGCAGTGCACTCCTTGTCTTATGACTCTCAGCTGCAATAGAATCAGCACCAGGGGCTTTGCCACAGAAGAGGAGCCTAATGGCATCAAAAACCTATTCTTCAGTTGGAAGTTCGGCTAGAGATGGACTGACTCCCACCTGAGGTAAATGGTCAGCGGCTTCAGTGCTGGTTGATGAGAGTTTGTTAGAATGCCAGGGAAGTGTTGGCCCACCTCTCCAGGATCATGTCCTCATCACTAATCAATGTGACTCCATCAGCACTGAGTAGGTGAGATGCACCATAGGTCTTTGGCATCATAAAAGCACTTTGGATTGTTACTATCAGCACAAAATTGAATTTCATCTGCCTTCTAACTAAGCCAAGAATCCTGCATATCTCTAAGCTTCACTTGCACTTTACTTTTGATCACTGCCTTCTTAGAGACAGACAAACTATACTGCTGGTAAACCCTGTGGAGTTCTCATTTTTTCATTTAGGAGCTTCTGAATTTCCCCATCATTTTCATCAAACCAATCTTGATATTTAAAAGTGTTCTAGCCCAGATGAGTAAATGTGGTGCTGTACACCAAATCTCCGAAAGCTGCCCAAACCTTTTCTGTTCCACTGTTGCCAACCATTTGTTGGCTTAGCTTTTCCCTCCAAGTTAGCAACAAATTGTTCACACTCAGAGAAATGCTCTAAACTGTTGATATTAAGTCTTCTGGTAGTCATCTTGCCTTGGGGCCGCCACTTTCGCTAAATGCAAATGTTTAGCTTGGAGAGGATAAGTCTATACTTAGTCCAGCACTCTGTGCCACACATCATCTTCATCACTCTTACAGCCTGTCTATGAGACAATGACAGAGTTTACTAAATGCGAATGCTCACTCTAAGGATGCATCCATGAAATTTAGTTTAACAGAAGATGTTGGTGATGAGAAGGTCGTGAGACACAGAAGTCTTCAGTAAGTGACCATTGCTATTTCTGACTCCATTCCTCTCAAGGAGTCCCTGCCATGTCTGATGATCTGTGCCTCCTCTGGCATTAAAGTCACTCAGAATTATAAGCTTGTCCTCTTTCAGTATACTGATGATGAAGGTCTCCAGGTCTTCATAAAATTTTTCTTTCATCTCATCAGAGTTTGTCATGGTGGGAGCATACACACTGATGATGGTGGTGTGATGCTTTCTGGCAAATGGCAATTGCATTGTCACAAGCCTGTCGTTCACTCCCTTTGGGAGGTACACAAGCTTGTTGATGAGATTAGATTTGATTGCAAAACCTACACTAGCTTCATGGAGTTCACAATCACTATAGCCATTCTAAAAACACATGTATCCAGTCTGACTTCAGTAAGCTGGCCTTCATGTGCCAGCTTTGTCTCAATCAGGGCTGCTATTTAGATGTGGTATCCACTGAGTTCTCTCACAATAAGAGCTGTTCATCTTTCAAGTCTACTAGATATCTTACTGTCCACAACTGTGCACACATTTCATGTGCCAATGGTAAGAGGAATAATCTTCATAAAAAGTTTTGTACACTTTTTTGTGTTTTGATTGCAGGGTAGGATTCCCCGCCTCGGTAAGCAGGCCAGGGTTAGGGTAGATGAAATAGTCAATTTTGAGGGCACCTTTTCTAGCCCCTTTCTCACACCAGAAGGTGAGCAGTGTGATCCTTTAAAAAGGCTGCTCAGACACTCAAGAGGCTGCCAAATTCCACTGCTGCTTCAGGCCATGGCCTGGGTCACCTGTGTACAGCGTTGTGACTACAACTCCTGGTGTATCCACACCTGCTGCTTCGTTACTTGTCCAACACCACAGGACTTTCAGGTAGGTAAAAATGGTAAAATGGCATGGATGATGTCTTTTGATTTGCACATAAACAGTATTTAAGTGAGGCAGAGATGTGTAAAGTTATTGGCCTTACTCTCTCTTCCAAAATCATCAGAGTCCAATGGCAAGACAAAAGTCAAGACAACTAACGATGGCTCAGGATGCAGTGGATGACCCTGGTGTCTTCAATATCTAACCAAGCTCTAAGCACTCTACAGAGCCTGCTTCAACCACCTTCATGGAAACTGGAACAAATTGGTTTCATCTGCCCAATAGGCCCATGGAAGTCTTCACATGCTTGGGGTAGCCAGCCCCTAACTCCCTGACAGGTTTGAGGCCCCTGTTACTTTCATCTTGGTTTAACCCAACTGCCAAAACGGTTTATCTAGGTGTGACTGCTGGGCATGCTACAATTTTTTGGAGCCACAGGTGAGCACTGGGTCACAAGTGACACCAAAGGTGCAAAGCAGCCCTAAAAAGGGTGTGGCAGTCCTCATACCAGAGGTACTAGTCTTCCTTGAACACCCATACACCCCCACAGGGGAAGGTAGGAACAAGTGAAGGCTTTTTTTAAGAAAGAGGGAGACCTGAGCATGTTTGTAGGCAGCAAAGAAAGTGTCAGTAGACAGGGGGAGGAGTAAGAACAGAAAGGAGGCATGATGGTGGGGAATGAGAGGGGATGGGCTTGAGGGCTAAGCCCTAACAAAAGCAGAAAGGCTACCTCAACATCAAAGACTGGACCAAAGCAATAGTGGGGGATGATATAGAAAGGATATAAGATGAGAAAAGGAGAAGGGGGAGACAAAGGAGAGAGGATATATTAGAAAATTAATGTAAAAACAAAAGATATCAATAATTTTTTTTAATGATAGAAGGTATAATGAGACAGAAGTGAAACCAGGCAACGCAAAGAATAAACTGTATATATGCAAACACAAAATCATCTTTATTTCTATTTCACCCATTTCATTTTTGGCCCTGAGCTGTGATTTCATTGATATAAGGGGTCATATAAATAACTTCTTCTACCAATGCAGATGGAAACCTTCTCTGCAAGTCTCAACAGATTTTCCCAGGGCATTGAGAAGTTCAGTGACTTGCACAGGATCACAGAGTATGTGCCAAAGGCAAGATTGAATCCCAGCCTTCCTGTCTTTGAAGTCAACTCTAACCTGTGTTGCCTTTCATTTGACTCTATAAATATTAACTCTTAGTTTTAAGTTTTCTAACAGTTTAAAACAGAAATAGAGCCTAAAACAATCGTAGTCCCTAAAATATCATATAATTATCAATGAAACAGTATCATAAGACTTTAGTTTCCCACTGGAAGTGCAAAATAGATAGAAAAATTGCAACACAGTTAAAAGTGAGAGGTTAAGTGTCTTGCCCAAGGTCACATAAACAATTATCAGAGCTAGATTTGAACCAAAGTTTTCCTGTCTCCAAGGCTGGCTCTTTCTATCATACTGCCTTTTAGTTTAATGTAATCAAAATTATCTTTATCTTTTATGATGACTGGTATCCCTTGTTTGGTTAAGAAATCTCTCTCAGCCATTGCTGTAATTTCCATTTTCATTTTGATTTTTTAACAGGTCTTCAGGAGCTGTGGCTGTACCCCAAGGAGCAGCTGCCAAGCTGCATCTCCACAGGAACTGCTTCCTACGATGAGGGCTCAGGGCACTGGGCTAGAAGCAATATTAACCTAGGGCTCTTGGGTTCAGAGTCTTGGAATGTCTTCATCATGAGCTAAGGGAGGCTAGTGATTAAAGTGGTGGTCATGGCTTGACTTGCTGTCTCCTGGCTCCCTCTCAGGGTACCCTTCTGCTTCAGCTAAGTTGCTTTTCTTGCCCTGCAAGTGGCAGTTGGTTGGCAATTGGTGGGCACACAAGTTGTTGTTTCCATGAATAATGGCTATGAGGGGTGGACTGGAAGCAGGATCAGTGGTCTGTGGGTACTACCACTCCCAAGGCTCTGGTACTCATCTACCTATTGGTGGCAGTTGGTCAACAGTTGTTGCTTGTGGTGATGAGGAAGGTGGGCCCCCTCTCCAAAATAATTTCTGCCCTCAATGATAGCTGTAGGTAGTCTAAACCCAAGAACACAAACTACTATGATAATGAATCCCTATTTTATAAGAACTACTTAGAAAATTCAAAAACAGTTTGGCAGAAATTAGCTTTAAACCCAAAACATTTAACTCATACTACCACAATAAGGCCCAAATGGATATATAACCTATATATAAAAGGTCACAACATAAAAAAATCAAGACATAAATGGAAGAAAGTATCTTTCACAACAATTATGGGAGAGAATTCTCAGCCAAACGGGATAGAGGTGATCATAAAAGATTAAAAAAAAATTTTTTTTGAATACATAAACTAAAAAGCAGCATGGTGTAGTAGAGAGCTGACCCTGGAGTCAGAAGACTTTGGTTCAAGTCCTGCCTCTGATTCCTACTGGCTGTGTGACCCTAGGTAAGTTACTTAATCTATCAGTGTCCTAGGGTAGCCCATAAATTCAGAGTAGGTGCTAATCTGTACTTGTAGAGGCAGTTTCTTCATGAGGATTTCCCTACACAAATAAAATCATAGGTCTGGTAGAAACAACAACAACAACAACAACAACAACAACAACAACAACAAAACAGAGGAAGATGAGTCCCAATTGGCCTCTCTACTTCTAGTGATGCTTCTGGCAATGGGGGTCACTCATAATGGGAGTCTACATTTGTTCCTGAGAGTTTAAAGAGTAAACATTCCAGCAACAAAAGAGAGATGTGAGGATGCTCTTGTCTTTTAAGAGTAGTGCCCTGAAGATAACTGCAGTAAATTGTTGTTGGATTTTCATGACATGTTTGAATTTGGGAGTGATATTATGCTCCAGGTCCAGAAGCTGATAGGCATAAGCCTGCCAACCTCCCACTTCAAGGATATTATTCCAAACTAATTCCACGTGACAAATACTGTAGGATAAGATGGAGAAATACGGGATAGTATAATGAGACAAATTTGCAAATGGTTCAGTGACTGGACCCAAAGAGGCGTCACTTTTTTTTTTCAAGGCTCTTTTTTTTTCTTTGCTAGGCAATGGGGTTAAGTGACTTACCCAGGGTCACACAGCTAGTAAGTATTCTATGTCTGAAGTCGGACTCGAACTCAGGTCCTCCTGACTCCAGAGCTGGTGCTCTATCCACTGTGCCACCTAGTTGCCCCTCTACCAAAGCAGAGTCATTAACAAGAAGGTGGCAATTGGAAGGGAAGCCTATGTTTAGAGTGCCTTGCGGGGTCTGATGTTGGCCCTGTGCTGTTCAACATTTTTATCAATGACTAGGATAAAGGTATAGAGGCATACTTTTCAAATTTGCATTTGACATGAAGCTCAGAAGTATAGCTAACATAAAGGATAATGGTATGGAACCAAACAGGTCTCAATTGGCTGTAATATGGTGAACAGAATAAAACTTGAAAAAAAATGTGAAATTCTACAATTGATTTTCAACAATTTTCAAATATACAAGATAGGGGAAGCATTGCTAGAAAAGAGTGCCTGTGAAAAGGACCTGGAGGTTTGACTGGATGGCAAACTCTGCAAGTCATACAGCAGCCCCAAGAGTTTACTCTCTACTAAAAGGCAGAGTGTTCAGGAAGTAACAGCTCTACTAGAGCTTGACTTGGTCAGGTTACATCCGGAGCACAGTATGAAGTCCTGGGTACATTTTAGGAAACAAGAACATTTCCAGAAGAGAGGAATGGAATGAATGCTATATGAGGGATGGCTGAAAAAAAGTGGGGAGGTTAGACAGGCAACTAAAAAGAAGGCTTACCAGAGATATGACCACTACCTTAAAATATTTGAAGGCTTATTTAAAGAAGAGATAAAACCTGTTTTGCTTGACCGCAAAGTATGGAATTAGGAGCTGTTGATGGGTAGGAGTTACAAAGAGACATATATCAAGCCTAAGCTTGATATAAGGAAACAACCTGAGCTATCCATTATCAATTAACTGCCTAGGGATGAGGAAAGGGGTTTGAGGTGGAAAGTGAGGTAGTTAGTAGGTTTCCCCTCAATGAGTAGTTTTTAAGCAGAGAATAGTTAATTATAGGGGTGCTAATGAACAGATTATTTAGAGGGTCTTTGAGATTTCTTTTAAAAATTCTGATATACTTCCCAGTGGATTATCAGAATAAAAAATTGAAAAATGTCATTTAGGTAAACATCTGAAGAAAGAGAATAGAGCAATCAGTAAACTAAGAAAGCTAAAGAAATATCACGGGATTTCTGAAATTTTTGAAAAAAAGAAATTAAGAAAAATTTCCTAGAATAACAGATTTAGAACTGGTAGGGGCCTTAGAAGTCATCACATCTAGACCTCTCATTCAACAAATGAAGAGTGAGCCTAGAAAGTTTAAATGACTTGCCCAAGGTCATACAGCTAGTAAGTGTCTGAGGCAGAATCTGAAAGGAGGTCTTCTTGACTCCACGCCTAGCACTCTATCCACTGTAACATAGAGCCTCAGATAACTGCATGCCAGTTAACCTATTTCACATTCAAAACTATTTCAATCACGTCTCATCTCTTACCTTTTATTAGGTGTTTTCACTTGGAGTGGAGATTCTTCTTTATGGCTGTTTTTGGATTTTGGTTTCTCCTGCTTTTCTCGTTTTGTTTCCTTTGGTATTTTTGATTTTTTGTTTGAAGTTGCAGTCCAAGGAGCAAAATCATCATCATCTTAAGGTATGTAGTGTTTTGGTTATTTTTTAGGGGGAAGGAAAGAAAAAACTCATGAAGTTCTCTTAGTTGAATAATAAAGGTGGTATTTCAGAAGTTCAAATCTTTTGAAGCATATAGTCTTAGAGTTTTTATTCAAGCAATTTCATTGTGTCATAATTGGCCCAGTTCATAGCAACTTTTTCATGACTAATACCTATATAATTTCAACCTATCATAGACCAAGTACCTGGAATTCTGCAACACCAATTATACTGGTATACAAAAACCCAAGGCAAAAAGTAATGCATTGAGGTAATCTTCTGAAGATCTACTGGGACCGTTTATAAAGACCTGTGTCAAAAAGGCTCCATCACTTTGAAAGTCAACCATCAACCAGCAAAGCATGTTTATTTCAACTTCCTAACTGAAACAATATATTCTCAGGGTCTACTCATATGGCTAGAGAATAATTTGTGTGAAAAATAACTGGGAGTTTCTAACATGGGAAAGAACAGCAGGCACAATAAGATTATGGAGAGAAAAACAGTCATACTCTTAGCTTCACATAAGATGAAGAGGAAAAAAAATAGAGGACCTATCTTAAAGTTTAATAGAAGCTCTGATTCTCAGGGTTGAAAGGGACCCCTGGGTCATAGTACAAAGTCTACCTGAACAAGAATTCCCTTCACCAAATACTAAGACATTATTATCCAGCCTTTGCTTGAAGACTTCTAGTGAGGGGAAACCTACTACTTTCAAAGTCAGCCCATTTTACTTTTCGATAGTTCTGTTAGGAACCTCACAAGCTCAAAAATTTATAGGTAAGACATTAGAAATCACCTAGTATAATGCCCTTGTTTTACAGAGGCTACATAGCATTTCCAGGGTCCAAAAGTATGTAGCAGGGTTGTAATCTGAATCTTGATGCTCAGACTTTGAGTTGTCACCCTTGCTACTGCATCATGGGGCCTCCACACATCCACTGCTCCTGTCTCTACCCTCTGGGGCCAAGCAGAATACAACTAAGCCCTCTTTCACAGATCGACTCTTCAGAGACTTGAAGGCTGGGATCCTAGCTCCCTGCAGCTCTTTGCGGCCTGGTTAAACATGCTGGTTCTTAAACTGAGTTTATGGGGGCATCACTTGAGGCAATTCACTCTCCTGAGACACTGGGTAGTATAATGCATAGTGCTGATCTTGTAATCAGAAAGGTCTGGGGTCAAATCTCACCTCTAACACTTACTGGCTATGTAACTAGGGGAAGTCACTTAACTTTCTGGGTCCTCAGTTTCTTCATCTGTAAAACGGAAATACTATCAATAGTATCTATCTCACAGGGTTGTTGTTGAGGTTCACAGGAGATAATGCATGTAAAGCACTTTGCAAACTTTATGGAGTTAGGTAAATGTCAGTTATTATTACCATGGTCTCCTTGCCCTCCTCTGGGTACTTTCCAGCTTTTCTTTCTTAATTATCTCCTAATAAGTCATGGGTGCCCAGAACTAAACACAAGAAATCAGATTTGATCTGACTAAACCAGCTAGGGCAAAGGACAAATGTATTATGACCTTCCTACTCTGTGTGATATACCTCTCTTAGTGCATACTAAGGTTGCATTTGCTTTTTTGGCTATTATATCACACTGTTGAGTCATAATGATCTTAGACTCAGCCTCCTTATCTGACCTCTCTCCCAAACTCTAGGCAAACATGGCTAATTGTGGTTACTAGATTTCTCAACCTGCATATCCCTATGGTACTTCAAATTTAGCATATCTAAAAACCAATCTTAACTTTAGCCAGAAACTTGCTTCTCTTCAACACATTTTAGGGCCATCATTCTCTTAGTCACACGCAAACGAAACTTCACTTATCTTTGACCCTTCCTTTTCTATTCCTCTCATATCTAGTTTACTTGCCAAGTCGTATCTGTCCTATCTCCAGATCTCTTGTATCCTTCTCCACTGGTACCACAACCCTAGTTCAGAGCCTTAATATCTCTTACCTCAGCACAGAAACAGCTTCCTACCTAATTCATCTCCCCATCTTTTTCCAATCTATTCTACCAGTCCTCAAGTCTGGGATAACTGCTTCCTTCTGAACAACTCCTATAACACTTGTAATGTTAGCACTTAATTACATAATGCTTATATTTTTTCAAGTGTTTAATATGTTTTAGTCCTATGTCTTAAAATAGATTAAAAAGCTCTTTAAGGCCCTGGTTCATAGACCCTATTCTTCTCTGATCCATTCCACAGTGTTCAGCATACTGCAAGCCCTTAACATACCCTTACTGACTTAGTTCAGAAACTGGATTATTCACATACTTACCCAAGCCAAGTTATTAGCTTTGAATCTGAGTGAAGGAGAAAATGATCACTCAGAATTATAAAACACTTTATATCTTTAGAGTAAGATATTTTGGCTTGGGCACAGTATCTTACCCTAAACTGAACTAAAAGAGTCACTTACAATGTGGCTTTGTACATGTTACAACTTAACCAATTAGACAAATGCATAACTGCTATCTAACAATTATCCTAGTTGAAGATTGTAGTATGGTATAGCAGAAAGAGCACTGATGTTAAAAGTCAGAAAATTTGGATTCATGTCCCAGTCCTGACACTTAATTAGGCAAATCCCTAATCTGTTGGGAAAAAAAAAGTATAATAATACTTGTATCATGTAGTTCTCAAGAATGCTGTGATGAAATGTTTTGTGAACTTTCATGCCAGGTTTAACTAACGACAGTGCAAGGCAGTAGATATATGGAGCATGGACATTCTGCAAATACTGAGGAAAAATGAAAACTTGCAACTCTAAATACAGAAATATGAAGCTGCACTTACCATCATAGTCTGAATCCAAAGACTGCGAGTAATCGACTGGTTTCTTATTCCTATTATAAACACAAATTTTTTCAGTTATATAAATTTCAATTTTTCTCCTCCAGAGAACAGTTTAAATACATTTCCTTTTCAAATGAAATATTACGTTATCTAGTCAATAAGCATTTATTAGGTACTTAACTACGTTTCAAGCAATGTACAAGTCCTTTGAAAAATTCCTAATTTCAAACAAAAATAGTATCTTTTTAGTTTTGTTAGTTAGGTAATTTATTAATTTATTAACTACATAAAAACCAAACTCCCAAGGGTTGATTGCCTGCCAGTGATTAAAAACTTTATACTCAAAGGCAATTTTCCTTTCTGTAGCTCAAACTGATTTTTAACTTAAGTGGATCCACCCTTGCTGTCATTTCCAAGGAATCTATAAATGTTCATCTAATGTTACAATCTAAAGATAAATGTATACTCTCTCTTTTTTTCAAACCTTGCGCATTGCACTAACTTTGTTAAGAAAATTTAACACATAAGTTAAAACTTTAAAAGATAAATTAAAATGTATTTATTCACACTACAAAATAACTCTTTGCTTTTGATAAGGATTTTTAAAAGTATTCCTTTAATAAGGAGTTGTTCTTGTGATTTAGAATGCATATAAGTGTCTTCTACTTCTTCTGACGCAAGAAATTAGTCAGAAGCCTGAAGGCAATGGGAAAGGGGGCCTGCCCACCCAAGTCAGGCTCCCAGCATGATGGTCAGAAAGCCCAGAGCACTCTTGGAAGTGCCAAAGGACAATGGATATGTGGGCAGCAGCACAAAGACCCTGCCTGCAAAGGCAACCTTGGGCTGTGAAGTCTCTAGCACCTTGACCTGAGACAGCAGAAAAGACCCTGCACTAAGCAGGAACAACCAACTCACTCAAAAGTACACCAAGGGCTCTGGCACAAATCTCCAACTCAGAAACTAAAGCTGGAGAGATGAGGAAACCAAAGTAGATATCAACCAGTAATAAAAACTGTTACAAATTTAAAGATTCCCCTACAGAAGAATAACATAAACTCCATGACAACTGCAGAAACTCAGGGGGGAAATGGATTTTCTAAAAGGAAATGAAACAAGAGCTAAAAAATGAAATAAAATCTCTGAAGGAAAGAGCTGGAAGGAGAATGAATAGTTCAGAAGACAAAGTGACGAACTTCCTGAAAACCTAAATAACCCAAACAGAAATCAATAAATCCATGAGACATCAAAAAATAGCAGAACAAAATGAAGGCTAAAAAAAAAGAGAATTGGAGATAACTGATATTAAAAACAACTGACCTAAAAACTAGGTCAGGGAGAAAAATTTAATAACCATTAGACTCCCTAAAAACAATTATTTAAAATGTGTGTCTGTATAAAACATACACATAGGGACACTACATTTCAAAGAACTGTAAATGAAAAAAAGCCCAGATCTATTACAATTAAGGGCAAAAACTGTAAGAATCCACATATTATTCGCAGAAAAGTCCCAGAAATGTTAGAGTCAGAAAAAAAAAAAATTCAAGCAGTCAAAATACAGAAGTAATAGTGATGTGTTCACAAAAGGGGAGGAGGGGTATTGAAACATCTTTAAAAATGCAAAGCAGTACACAGAAGGAAGTTCAGAAGGAAGCACAGAGAAGTTTTGAAAGCAAAATGTAGAATGTATAGTTTTTTTTTAAAAAGCAAGCATTATGAAATGGATATTCAATTTCATAGAGAATCCTCTTTTGCATTCTACTATGTATATGGAAATGTCTTTTGTGTGTGTAAGTTCAGAGTTTATTTTTTTAAAAAGAATTTTATTTTTAAACCAAGCATGTGGAAGTTCATCTGGCATTCCTCTGCCAGACTCCAATCACAATGGAAAATCATAATTGCTTAAATATACCTAAAGGTCACCTCTAGAAAGTGAAAAGAAGAATAAATCACAAAGTTATGAATTATATTTTCATTTATATTTCTATTTATAATACCAACGACTTCTTCCTTTAAAGTAAGGTCATTACAAACCTTCAGCAAAGGAATGTAAATTGAATCTTTGTAAATAAAATTAATTCTTGCACTATGACCCAGTCTAAGCCAAAATATTCATATACTAACACCTACAAAGCATAAAGCATTAAATTCAGAAATTTAGTATATAAAATGTGCAGAATTACAACTAATGAATCTTCAATTTTACATACATCAACAGTAGGTAATCCAAAAAGTAATTTATAACTGAATTAGGAAAATCAATTAATTTGAGATCTATTATAATTCATTTTACCACTAGATTTATACTTCTAATTATATTTTTCTTAAATATAAGATTAGAGAAGACCAAGTCAGTCAATCAACAAGCTACTACTACTAGTCAGGGTTTCAACTAGGCACTAGAGATAAAAAGGGAAATATACCCTTAAGGTGCTCACCTTCTAATAGAAGACATAGTTTGAAAATAACTGTGATACATTATAAATGGAAAATAATCTCTTAAAACAGCACTAGCAGCTAGGGAGGGGAGGGAGAGGTAGAGAGAGAATGGGAAAAATCTCTGGAGGAAGGTGGTCTTTGAGTTCCCTTCCAGGAAAGGAAGGAGAGCATTCTAGGCCTGGAGGACTACCACTGTAAATGCATGAATTTGAGAGAAAGGAGTGTGATGTGGTAGACCAGCAAATGAGTTACTATAGCTGGACTTAAACTACATAAAAAAAGTAAAGTGTAAGAAGACTGGAATGGTAGAAATGGGCCAGGTTGTAAAGAGCTTTAAAAGAGAAATGGAAGAGTTTAGATTTGATCTTGGAGGTAAGGGGGAGCTACTGGAACCCATTGGGTAAGTGAGAAGACATGGTCAGATCTGCACTTTAGGAATGTAATTTCAGCAGCTGTGGGAGGATGAAGTATAGAGATACTCAAAGCAAGGCATGAAGAGTCCCCCAGGCAAAACAACAGATCTAGGAATCAGACCTGAGTTGAGTCTCAGCATTAACACTTTTTCATTGTGTGACTCTAGGCAAAGCACTTTACTGCTCTGGTCCTGTTTCCTCCTCTGTAAAATAAGGATTGTTTTGGAAGAAATTATCTGAAAAACCTTAAGGTACTTTAGAAATAATTTTTCACTCTGGGTGGGGCTGTGAATTGGTCTATTGGTGAATTGGAAAATAATCCAGAATATGCTCCAAAATTTGCTAAGCTTTGCATACCCCGCGACCAAGGGATACCACTACTAGGCTTACACCCCCAAAGAGATTAAAAAAAAAAAAGAGGAAAAGGACCCATATAGACAAAAAATTTTGTAGCAATTCTTTTCGTAGTGACAAAGAACTGGGAATTAAGGGAGGTGGGGAAAAGGGTGCCTATCAATTGAGAAATGGCTGAACAGAGTATGATACATACACATTCAATGGAACACTACTATGCTGTAAGAAATAATTAAAGACACAGCTTCAGAGAAATCTGGGAAGATTTGTATGAACTGATGCAGAGTGAAGACCTAGTTGTACAATAACACCACCACTGTATGGACAAACACCTTTGAAAGACTTCAGAACTCTAATCCATTCAATTACCAGGGACCAATGATGACGCAAGCTACCCACCTCCAGACACAGAAGTGCCAAACTTAAGAGGCAGAGTGAGACACATGTGTGTGAATATGCATAAACGTATATATGTGTATATTTAGGCGGGGCCAACGCAGGAATATGTTTTGCGTGACCATGCTTATTGGTTTTTTTTTCCCAATGGTTTATGGGTGAGACACAAAGAAAATGTTTTCATTGAAAAATTTTTTTAAAGAAATAAATAATTGTGACAAATATTCTTACAAGCCAACACTTGCAAAGCGCTTTCCATATCTTAAAACGCTATTACGAATACTACTGTTCCTATTATCTCGTGGGTCATATAAGCGGATCCTTTCTCCTCTCCATCTCTACTCCTCTGCCCTCAATCTCGTCTCAAAGACGTTCCCTATCACCACAATCACCACCTCTAGCCCACGGCCCTTTCCCCTCTCCTTCCTCTTTTCAATCTCGTCCAGTTCCCCGACCCCCCATGTCGGTTAATTGCTCACCGCACGGGCCTCGGCATGGTCGCAGGCTACCCGAGGTCGCTCAGGGAGCCTCCAGAAGCTGGAGCCAGGTTGGCTGGAGCTACCGTTCCCGCCGAAGATCAAGCGCGCGGGAACCCCGCCCACCACGGAACTCGAAACCCGGAACTTGAGCTCCAGTTCCGCCGCGGCCCGAGGCGCGCTCAGTCTTCTATTTTTAATCTACACATTCGCCATTTATTTATTCGCTTCCCCTCACCCCCACCCCCGTGTGGCTTAGAAGAAAAAGAAAATCAGGAAAGGAAAAATCTTCCCACATCACATATGGGCATATGACGGAAAATAAAAAAACAGAGGAGGCTACGTCAAGCAGGTCTTTCTCCAAGATTGAAAAAAGGGAAAAGCGAATCTGCGGCGGTGGATTAGCAGAGGCCGCTGTGCCCTGCCTGTCAGCTGATCGGTTCTGAGAGATGGGCTGAAGGAACCTGCCCACTCCCGGCTCAGATCGTGGAGAAAGCAGGTGAGGCGCGGGGCTTGCGAAGGACCTTGTGAAGGGAATCTTACACAGCATTGCGGAGTTTGTTCCCTCTTTCCCCCAGAGCCCTCCTTTCCAGCCCCATCTTTCTGTACCGACCGCGTTGCCTCACCCCTCACCTTTCCTTTCCTCTCCCTCTTTCCCTTTACATCCTCGAGGTCCACAAAGGATCCAAGCCAGAGCTCCCCAGTCCAGTCCACCACCCCTTAGCAAAGCTCACTCCCTCCAAGTAAACCTGAATAAAACCTCCCCATGGCTAATCGAGGAGATTAAACCAAATTTTGAACAAAAACTGGAGGAACCACACTAATGTGCTAAATTTAAATCCCCAAACTGATTTTTTTTTCTTTATTTCAAATGGAACCAATTGAAAAAGGGGCCAGGGAACCAAAGAACCAGTTGAACCCGGAACAGAAGGGTTTGTAATTTATAAAATCCTTGAACCAGAATATAAAAGTTATCACCTAATGAGTCCTAGTTTGGATTTAGAACTGAAGATGACTTTAGAAATCATCCAGTTCAGTTCCTTCGTTTTACAGAGAGGAAACTGAGGCCCAGAGAGAGGAAATGTTACACAAAGAGCTGTCAGAATTCATATCCATGTTCTCTGAGTCCATATTCACTGGTCTTTGCACTAAACCATTTTCTCTGAACAAATACTTTACTTTCCGGGTCTTTACTTAAATCGATCCTTCACTGTGTGTACTCATAGAATTATATATACATCTGGAAAGAACTTCAGAAGCCATCCTTTCTAACCCCCTTCTCATTTTCCAGATTGAGAATTAGACTCAAGGAATGATTTGCCCAAAGTCATACTTGTAATTCTGGTCAATCACTAGGAGTCAAAGGATCTGTATTCAAACTTTGCCTCTGGTGTTTACTGTCCATGTAACCTTGGGCGAGTCACTTATCCTCCCTGGCCTTCGGTTTTCTCAATTGTAAAACAAGTAGGTTGTCATAGATGAAAACCTCTGAGAGCCCTTTCAGTTCCAGAACTATGATTCTATGAACCCACATTTGCTGACACCAATATTCCTTGTACTGTACCCAGTTGGTATACTCTTATCTGTGATACAATCTTTCATAAATATTTTTAGCAGGTTTCACTGGGCTTCTCAAAGATATAAGCTTTTTGAGAGCAGAGGCCCTGTCTTCCTTTCCTTGTTTACCACTTTAATTTGACAAATATTCATGGATGATGATAAATAAATAATAGGAGTTAGAGTAGAAACTAAGTTTGAATAAGGCAAATGGGTACCTGGCCTCAGGGAGCTTACAGTACAGGCATAAAGCAAAATAATGCTTTAGAAATGTAAGGAATAAATGTTGTGTGAATTCCAAGAGAAATATAGTCCCTAAGAAGGGAAGCCTTCTTAGAGAAGGTGACATTTGAATAGGATTTTAATACATGAAGAGGAGGTAATATAATTCACACATAGTTTGAACTAAGATATAAATGCTAACGTACCTGGCATGTTCAGGAAGAAAACTTAATGTAAGACTGTGCGCTCAATGGGCACTTAAATGCTAACTGTTTGGTCCTTGAACTCTATCTACCGTCAGAAAACCATTGCTAACACGTGTACTTTTCATTAGAGTTTGGAATAGTTGTATAATTTTTTGGCTCTTTTCTCAATGTCCTTACATATTTGTTATAAATTCATCTAGTTTTCTTCAATAGAGTGTAATTTTCCCAAAGGACAAGGACTTTGCTTATTTCATTTCCTCTCATCACAGCACCAAGAACTGGAATGAGCACTCAGTCAACTGTATGCGAAATATAAATTCCACTTCCTCTACATGCTAGAGGAAGAAAGAATAGTCTAAAAGTTGTTTATGTAATCATACAAAGAATACAGGGAGTAGTGAAAATAGCATTGGCCTTTGGAGTTAGGAGAATCCTGGATTGGGATCCTTTTGTTTCTTTTTGTTTTGTTGCCCTGTGGATTCCAGTTTTTCTGTTCTGCTGATCATTTTTGCTATGCAGCCAATAAATTCTGCTTTCATAATTCTTATTTTCTAAATCATTCCGGAACACCCTGCTGTGATTCCAGCTTTCCAGTATTCCTTTTCACAAATGAGTGTATCAAAAAAAGGCAAACAACTACAATCACTTAATATTTTGTGTGTGTGTTATCTTGAGAAGTTGAAGAGATAGGGAAAAAAAAGTTGTCACAGGATCATAAATTTAGAGATAGGAGAGACTTTGATGCCATCTAGTCTACCTCCCTCATTTTATAGCTGGGGTTTTGCTTAAGGTCAGATAAGTAGTAAGTGACAGAGTCCATTTGACCAAGCCTTCTGACTCTGCACCCAGCACTGCACCATGGATTTAACAAATCAGTGGTGCTAGAAAGAACATTAATTGAAGTGCTGCCACTCAGAAGAGCAATTCTACTTGATAAAATATACATGATAGTGTGTTATTTTTAATATAGGACAATCTTGATGACAGCAGTTCTGCTACCAGATAAGATGAAAGCAAACCAAGAGAAATTCTGTGGCCGAGAAAGAGAATTTGTATATAAATTCAATGTAGGAAGCCAGTGCTTTGAACTTACAGTGCCTCTGAAATTTCCTGTTCAAGAGAACCCAAGTAACTTGCATGGACGTCTGATGCTTCTCCACAATTTACCTTGCTTCATAGAAAGTGGTGAGAACTGATTTTGATTATTGTTTAACTGCTCTGCTTTTTGGACTTACCTAATTACATATTCTGAAAAGAATGGAGTTTTGTTAGAAATAGTCACAAGTTTTAAAAAAGTATCGTTGATACAACTGCTAACACTTTTCCTTCTGTGCAGATAATAGTATTATAAGTATAAAAAGGGCTTTCTGATCCCCACCAATTGTTTTCACAAAATATTTGTGAGGTATCACGATAATTTTGTATTATGGTCTTAGGATCATAGATCTAGATCTGGATGCTCCATTAGAAGCCATTTAGTCAAACAATACCTGAATAAAACTGCAGAAGTGCCAGAGAACTTTGCCTTCCAATTATGTTTTACACCAGGAGAACAGTCAGGAAGCCTTTCAACTGAATAAATGGAACTTCAAAATAGAAGTTCACAATCTTTCAGAATTTGCATGCTAAATCATTTATTCACTCTGATTGAAAATTTCCTGAATCAGTAAAGGCAGGTAGAAGCATCTAGCTTCCTTAATTGATTCTCCAAACACGTGATATTATGGAAGCTAACGTTTCAAAGGCCCATATGCCTAATAATATCAGTGCAACAAATAGTAGCTACATTCCTGCCCAGCCAAAATATGGACTAAAAACTTTAAAAATATTCATAGACCAGAACCCATATAATATTTGTAGACCTCTCCCCATAACTTTGTCCTCCCTTTCCAGAGACATAGGAGTTTCTCCTTTGGTAGGTGTAGTATAGAATGGGAAGGGTGAGGGGTGTCTGGATTGGTACTTCTCTGAATGTGGTTTGTAGCTGGGGTCTGTAAGACAATGTACCTATCATTAATAGTAGTGCTGCAGAACATTTTATTGCTTGAATTGTCCTTTAAAATATCAGTTATTTGGGGCCAGCTAGATGGCACAAGGGATAGAACATCAGCCCTGAAGTCAGGAGGACCTGAGTTCAAATCCAGCCTCAGACACTTGACACTTAACTAGCTGTGTGACCTTGGGCAAGTCACTTAACCCCTATTGCCTCACCAAAAAGCAGAAGAAAACAAAAACAAATAAAATACCAATTATCATCAGTACCTAAGAAAGTCTGGGAAAATTAGAGACCTAATCTCTATATATCAGTAATTTTCCAGTGTGACTTAGCTTTACTTACCTCAGTGACTTGCCAAGGGTCAGACAGATAGTAAGTGTCTGAGGCCAGTTTTGAACTCAGGACTTTCTTGCCTGCTGCTCTAGTCACTGCACTACCTCACTGCCACATTGATGAAATGAGAGGTCTGAACCTGCCCTTTACCTTCATACAATCACCTTCCCCAAACAAAAACTAAGGGAACCATATAGATGCCCTAAAGATGACAAAGACTTAATTAAAGAGTATATGTAGTTTATTACTAGACTTAGGAGATTGGAATCTTTTAGATTAAACTATAACTCATATTGATATAACATTTTAAGGTTTACTTTCAAGTTAGTATATTTTAATAATCATTCTAATTCTGAGTGTAACTGAATTTTCTAAAGTCCTGTAGGAGATAAAATGTTTCCATTTATATTTCTAGTGGAAAGGACTGAAATTTTCCTATTCCTACACAATTCTTAGGAAGCTTTCCTTTGGGATTTATGCCAATATAACCGACAACTGGAGAATTGTTATTACTATTAGCCATTAGTGAATATCAGAATATGCTGTAGTCTAAAAAGAATAGGTAGACTTTTCCCTTTTCATTAAAATACATAGAATAACTTAAAATAATAAAATAGAACATTTGGTTCATTGTTTAAATCAGGGATTTTAACCTGAGGTTTGTCAGTTTTTTTAGCATTTTTATAATAAATTTACTATTATGAATGGTTTCTCTTGTAATCCTTTTCATTTTTTTATCATTTAAAAATATTAATCTGAGAAGGGAAACACAAAGAAATGCATAAGAGAGTCCCTGCTTTGAAGGAGCTGACAGTCTATTAGGGAAATCAACATGAAGACAATAATGTACAAAGAGATATATACAGGATAAATTGGAGGTAATAAAGAGAAGATACTAGCTTTAAGGGGATTAGGAGATTGTAGCTGAGATTTGAAGGAAGCCAAGGAATTCTGGAGGCAGAGATGGGGAGGGTGAGAATTCCAGACGGGAGATGGCCAGTGAAAATGCATGGAATCAAAAGACAGGGTGTCTTATTTGAGGGACAGCAAAGAGGCTGGTGTCTCTGGATTGAAGAGTAGGTGGGGGCGAGTAAGGTATGAGAAGACTGGAAAGCTAGGAGGAGGTTAGGTTACAAAGGGCTTTGAACACCAAACAGGGTTTTATATTTGATTTAGAGGTGATAGTGAGCCACTGGAGTTTATTGAGTATTGATATGGTCAAATCTGGACTTTAAGGAAGATCACTTTGACAGATGAGTGGAGGATGGACTAGGGGGAGAGACTTGTAGCAGGGAGACAGACCAGCAGGCTATTGAAATTGCAGTTCTAAACAGGTGAGGAAGGCCTGCACCAGGGTGATCACAGTGTCTCAGAAGAAATGGTAGTATATTCTAAAAAGATGAAGGTAAAATCGACAGGATTTGGCAACAGATTTTATGGGGAAGGGAAGTTGGGATGATAAGAGAAAATAATGAGTTTAAAATGATACTTTGTCACTTTAATTATAAGCCTTGGGTGACTGAGGATTGGAGTCTAGGTGACAGTAATAGGGAGGTTAAGAAGAGGGGAGGGTTTAGGTGAAAGAAAAGAAGTTAGGCTCAATAGGTAGATTTGATAATCATCAGCAAAGAGATCATCAATTGAATCCTTGAGAACTAATGAGATCACCAGGAAAAATACTATAGAGGAAAAAGAGAAGAGGGCCCAGGACAGGGCTCTGGCAGAAATCAGTGATTAGTGAGCATGACCTGGATAAAGATCCAGACAAGAAGACTGAGAATAAGCAACTCCAATAGACAGGAGAACTGGGCTGGAGTAGTGTCACAGAGACCTGCGCAGAAGAGATGGCAAGAAGAGAGTGATAGATGCTGTCAGAGAGTTTCATGACCCTAAAAAGATTAAGAACCCAGGGTTAAAATGCTGCCTTAGGTTGATTGTTTTAGTTGTTTAGTAGTATGCTGTAGTAAGGCTTATAAGATTAAGATTTGGAAATTGAAGGAATATCCTGTAAAATGTTTTTAACTTTTTCTCTGTCTCTATGTACAGGTTTTCTTCTGCCCCCTCCCCCCAGCCCCCTGATCTCCTTGAGGGCCAGGACTGGTTCACATTTGACTTTGTATCCTCATTGTCTGAGGAGTCTCTCACATAATAGGTGCTTAATAAATGCTTGTGGATTGATTAATTGATCTGTGGGAGTTTAACAGGTGTTGATTTGTGTTTTTCCTGCCACAGACTTAAAAAAATCTCTGAGTCAGTTTATAGAGGAAGAATCTCTAAGAGACTATGATAGAGAAGCTGAGGCTGCACTAGAAGCTTTGAAATCTGGTGAAGTTGATGTGCACCAGCTGACAAGTGCATGGGCAAAAACTTACGCTGAGGTGAGGACATGGGTCAGGCTGGAATTGCCCTCCCCCCCTTCTGCTTTCTTTCCCTTGTTTATGGTCTTGTGAGTAAATATTAACATATTTTATAGGGTTTTAAGGTTTACAAAGCACTTTGCTCATAACTGCTTTGGGAAATAGGTAGTAGAAGTACTATTATCCCCATTTTACAGATGAGGAAACTGAGACTCAGAAATGTTCAGTGACTTGTCCTCCATCAAACAGCTAGTAAAAACCCAAGGTTCCTGACCCCTGAGGCCAATGTTCTTTCCATCATTCCATGCCCCCCAGGTGTATTCTACCTCAAGCGAACCTTACATATGTAAATAAGGATTTGCAGAATCAGTAAATTGTATAAGATGATTATGGAAGAATTCATAGATTACTTAGTGAGCTCCCTGAATACATTTAGACTATGATGCAAGTTATAAATATTCTTTTTACTTTTTAAAAGCACATCTGCTGCATAAAGTACAATTACACCTATTTTTACAATAAAAATTGACAAGCTAGACGTTCTCATTGTTGAACAATTAAGGCAGTGAAATTCATTGATATAGCTTCCCCATTTAGTAAAAATGTCCCAAAAATCTTTGCAGAAAAAAAATATATGTGACTGTGGTACAGTTACCAAAAGAAGTAGAGAAATTAAGAATCATCAAAGTAAAACCAGTTGTCTCATTAACCAGGATAGTTTCATTCACACCTGGCAAAACTGAAATTTTAGCATATTCATAGCAAATAATTTAAAAATATATTGCTGTAGCCTCTTTACTAATATTTTATCTAATATTTTTGCATCTGTATAAAGTAGTAATTAAAGACGGACTATGCCACATGTAGCCTTCTAGGTCCTTGGGTGTGGCCTTTTGGCTGAGTCCCAAGTTTTAGGGAACAAATCCTTTCATTAAGGGGTTTTGTTCTGTGAAGTGTGGATGTAGTTAAAAGGCCACACTTGAGGACCTAGAGGGCCACATGTGGCCTCGAGGTTGCAGGCTCCCCACCCCTGGACTAGGGTGTAGGAGACTGAGAATTCTTTCAGTGTGAGAATTAAATTAACCTGACAAGGCTTTTCTGGGACTGGTTTCTCTTAATCCTGTTTTAATCCCGAGTAAAGTTTTGTTCCACAGTTATCCGTTTGTGCAGCACGTCCTCTTGTCATTTGTTGTTGTTGATGTGGGCCTGGTTCACAGAATCAGAGGCTGCCAGTCCAACCCCTGCCTGGGCACATTGGTATGCTGGAGAGAGCTGCCTCATGCCAGCGCCAGGTCTGGAGAGACTATTCAGTTGTCAGTGAGCACTGACACTTCAGAATGCACATCCACAAACCAGTGCTTGATCTATTTTTTGTTGATTGTCTAGACTTAGAAAGGGAAAGAGAAAAAAATATTAATAATGCAGATCAAGCTTTCAGGTGTGTTGTGTGCATTCTCCCCCAATGTGGATAGCTCATCATTTAACAGCACATCCTACCTGGTCAGCAGTCGACTTGCAATCATTGCTTGCAGTGTGCATCCAAAGTCTGCTTGACTTCCAGTGTGTCTGGAGTCAGTGTGGGCCACTTCGAAGAGAGTGAGTGCTAATTTATGGAAATCAAATGTTGTTCTTGTAACTTCTATTTAGCTCCACTTTCTAAGGCTAGGAAGAACTTGATAATGGTTTCCAGTCCCCTCACTATCCTGGTAGCCTACCTCTAGAGTACCTCATCATGTTCGTGCTTTCTTACAATGTGAACACAGTTTTTCAGATGTGGTCTGATTGGGGCTGTTTTCGAGGAAATAAATATCAAGGACGCATATGAACAGAAAGGGAAGTGGGCTGGCTATATATCAAGAATGAAAGAATAGGTAGAAAATCTGAAGAGTACATTTGTATCACAATATGCTTACAAAATTTGTGGGAAAACTGGGATAAGAACCACATGATAGAGGGGAAAGGAGCTTTTTGTATAATTGCAGCATTGTATTTTAAAAGAAAGCATTCCATATGATTTTGTTTTGTCTTGTAGACCACATTAGAGCATGCAAGACCTGAAGAGCCAAGCTGGGATGAAGATTTTGCAGATGTCTACCATGACCTAATCCATTCTCCTGCCTCTGAAACTCTCTTAAATTTGGAGCACAATTACTTTGTTAGCATCTCAGAACTTATTGGAGAAAGAGATGTGGAGCTGAAAAAGTTACGAGAAAGGTATTTCAGCTTTTCTTATGCTTAATTGTCATATTTCAGTATAGTTAGATGCACTTGTCCAGGGGAGACATTTTTAGAAATTTTTAGAAAATTGAAGCAGTAAATAAGAAAAATGTTCCTTTTTATAAATGCACATAACTTCCTGTTTCATTTCAAACCAGTTGTTGAAATTAATATTGCAGGTCCATGTAGATCTATGTAGTTTCTCTCAAATATGCCATTAATGATTGTATTTTAAGCTTGTTGATCCTTAGTTTAAGCAGAAGGGAAGGGTGGGAAATTCCAGCCTGACCCATGTTCTCACCTCAGCATAAGTTTTTGCCCATGCACTTGTCAGCTGATGCACATCAACTTCACCAGATTTCAAAGCTTCTAAGGATCAACAGGCTTAAAATGCAGTGATGAGAAAACTGCCAGGGTTACTTGCTCTGGTGCATGATTTTCCCTGCCCTTTTTCAGGAATGTAGGCACTGAACTAAATATGGGAAATGTTTGTTTAAATTGTTCTCTAACTGTACTTGCATTCAGAACCAAATTATTAAGTTCCTCTAAGTGTTCCTATTTTTTAGGTCATGAGAAGCAATGTGTTATAGTAGATAGAGGGCCAGCCTTGGAATCAGGAAGGCCCAGGCTCAGGTCCTGCCTCTGACACATAGTGTGTGAACTCATGAGCAAATCTCTTAACTCTTAGTGCCATAGGCACTCTTAAGTCAATAAATTATAGACAAATTGCCAGTCTGGCTCAATAGAGAGAATTTTTACCTTGCAGCTCCTGATAATAACAAAATAAAAATCTGTACCATCTTCTACAAGGAGATAAAAGCAGTGGCAAGAAAAGTCCCCCTTCAGAGGGTATAATTTCACTCCCCTGTCTTTATATACTCTTCATCCAAAGGGCCCACAACTGGGTCCCAGATCAACGTACCTGGGACAAAGTTAATTCATGCTACCCTAGGTCTGCTTTATAACCTCTTGACTCACAACCATACCAGTTGGTTGTGGGGGGGGGGGTAAGGGAGAGGGTGAGAGTTAACTTAAGCTATCCTAATTCCACTACTGCTCTGGCCCGCAACAACCCTACCCCTGACTAATAACAACCTTTGGTAGCCAGGGTCACAAAAATCAGCTTCACTTCAAAATAATGCCCCCGCTTCATGCTCACCCCCCCCCAATCTTGCAGCAGAGCAAAGGGGGCCTCATCAAGACAGCCACAGAGGTGCTGCTGCTCTTTCTACTCTTTTTCTGGTGGTGCTATCCACCAGACAGTGGTCAGTAAGCATTTATTAAGCTCTTACTATATGTCAACCATTGTGCTAAGCAATTGGGATACAAAGAAAGGCAAAAACACAGTCCCTGCCCTCAATGAGTTAGAATTCAAATGGGGAAGACAACTTGCAAACAGCTGTCTACACATAAACTATGTATAACATAATGGGGAACTAATTGTAGAGAGAAAGTGTTGGGGCGGGGTATAAGGAAGGACTGGAAAAGGCCTTTTGCAGAAGATGAATTTTGAGCTGAGACTTCATGGAAGCCAGGGAAGCCAAGAGACAGAATGGAAGAATATTCTAGGCATAGAGGACAGCCAGTGAAAAGGTCCAGCGTTGGAAGTACAGAGTCATGTGGGAGGAAGATCAAGGAGTCAAGTGTCAAGTGTCACTGGATCATAGAATATGTGAAAGAGTAAAGTGTAAGAAAACTGGCAAGGTGGGAAGGGACCAGGTTGTGAAAGTAACAGTCTGTAATCTTAATGGCCAGCCAAACACACAATTTTCAACATGCCCTAGTGCCACCCAAACCCAATTAAAATGGAATTGGGTAATATTTAACAAAATAAATAAAACTATAGCAAAATATAGTCATTATGCAACCTGCAGTGATCTTTCTGTACAGTTTAGTGGCCTCATTTCTGTTTGAATTTGACACCAGTGCTCTAGATTGTACTTTTAAATATACTACCTACCAGACCACTATGCACCTGTCGGCACTTCTCCCTTCCATTTAAATATGGAAGAAAGGTTTTGGGAATCCAATAATTAAATTCTGTCTATTAAAGTTTTGTTTTCAATGATTCTCTTTAAACTTTCAAAACTGCAACAACATTCTTCATCCACCAGGGGGAACATGTATCATGTATATTTGTTTGTATGCATATGATTTTGCATCCAGATCTGTCTGTCGGTATTCATAACTCTTTAACAAATGAAACCTTTTTCAAGTTTGGTTTGGGTTTTTTTTGGCCATACTTGTGAGTTCATGTGAGCGTAAGGAACTCCAGGTGAGGAAACTCTCTCTGCTAGTGCACATTCATACTGTTCTGCAATTTATAGTCTAAACCACTGAGAGAGTAAGTGATATCTGCAATGTGAAAGAGGGCCTAGGCTTGTTCTGTGGAAATGGACCTGAAGGCAGGAGTCCTGATAGTGAATCTTGCATCAACCAGGATTACTAGTTGTGGGCCTGCACAAGTCGCTGAGGCTGTCTCAGCTTCAGTTTCCTCATCTATAAAATGAAGATCCAATGGCATTTATCTTACAGTATTGTTGTGAGGATTGAGACGATATGTTTGCTTTGCAAATCTTCTGGCATTATATAGATGATGATGATATAGCATGTCTTCAGGGGTTTGTAAAACAAAAGGAAATTGGGAGAAGACAGAAAGGTCAATTTCAGCTCAGTGTAAGGAATCATCCCTAACAATTAGAGCTGTCCAGAAGTGGCTATCAGAGGAAATAGTGAATTGTCCATTACTGAAAATCTTCAAGCAGACTGCGCTGGACAACTAATTGTCAGGTATATTAAAGAGGGGATTCCTGTTCAGGGACAGGTGGAAATGGAGACCCTTGGCATCTGTGAGGGTTAAAGTTAAGTAGACATGAATTGGTACTGAAACTATATTTTAGAAAGTGCAATAGGTGTGTGTGTGTGTGGGTGGGTGGGTGTGTGTGTGAGTGTGATAGCCTGGTATAGTGGATAGAGGGCTGGCCTTAGAGTCAGGAGGACCTGGGTTCAATTTCTGCTTCCCATGCATATGAACTGCCTCACTCATATTCATTATGTCACTTAATCTCTGCCTCAGTTTCCTCATCTGTAAAATAGTGATGGTAATAATAGTACCTATCTCCAGGGTTGCTGTGAGGATAAAATGAGATAATTTTGTAAAGCACCTTGCAAACTTAAAGCTCTAGGTAAGTGTTAGCTATTATTGTTATTCTCTGTTACTTGGCTTCTCTTCCATTTTATGTGCGTTTCTTTAAAAAAAAAAGTCTTAAGTTATTTGGTGAATTCCTTCCCTATTGGATTTGTTTTTCCTTGTGTTTTCAGAATTTCATTCTTGAGCAACCACCTTTCTTACAGTCTTTCCTTTGAACCCTTTGAAATCTGCTTTCCAAAGTCTGTGGTACATGTGAGGCGGTACCCAGATTTCTTCTCTTCTATCCTAAATTCTTAAGATAGAGTGGTCAGTTTTCTTCAGGATTCCCATAATTTTTGCCCCACTAAGTGGTTTCTCCTTTTTAGTGAGAATAACATCCAGAATAGAATTTTCCCTTGTTGGTCCCTCCACTTTTTGAAAGACGAAAATATCACTAAGTCTAGTAAAGAACTTTTTAGATACTTTCACCCAAAATGCTATCATACTTCTCTTTTTGGACTTCCGGATTTCCTCACATTAGCTAATCTTTTAAATATACAGTTCCTTCTCACTCCTTCCCTTTGATCTTTTTTCATTAAGACATCTGTCCGGAACCATAGTCCAGCTATAGGGTTCATCCCCCCAAATCTCTGATACCTTTGAAGTTAAATTTGCCTCCTTGTTTTAGACCTTTAGTTTTTCTTGTTTGTTGCCTAAACTTTGAGCATTTCCATATATACATTGGAGGCTGTGGATGTTATTAGTGAATGTTTTTTGACTTTTATCTCCTAAGAACTTCTGGATTTCTCAGTTGTTCCTTTTTCTTCATTAAAGCTTCTCTCTGTGATATCTAGCGTGGGGACCATACAGAGGTAATCTCCTCCCATTTCTTTTAGTTTAAGGTCCCTTTGATTAAATTTGCTAAACCCTGGCAAATACACTCTCATCAATCTTTATTAAGTGTATTTTATCTCTGGCCTTCCAGTCTCCCATTCTTCTTTTTTAAACTGTGGTCCCAAAATCTAAATCCCATTCTTAGATAGTATCTTCCTAACCAGCTAATCTCTTCCCAAATTAACCTTTCTGTTTTGCATCTCAGGCTTTCTTTGGGTAGCAGTGAGAAAAACGCACCCTGTACCCTTTTGGATTTCAGTTTCTTGCCTTTATTCTTCGTCTTGGAAGGAACCTTAAAGGTCTTGTAGTCTAACCCTCATTTTAGAAATAAAGAAATGGACACTCAGGGAGATTGTGTTTCATTTGAATCGAAGTCCTCTGGGTCACATGCTCCCTTGTATCTGATTGATGGTCAAAAAGTCACTTTATACTATATAACAAATGTATTTTGAACATAGATTGCAGGGTGTATGCTTCAAGAAGTCTGTAGATATAAAAAGCATTGTGCTTTTGTTAGTTCTCTAATGAAATTCCAGTAAAAAGTCTATTAGATTCAAGTAGTTTCTTTCATACATTAATTTCAGATGCAAATCTCCCTCATAAGCAAAGGTTCTGATAACTTATAGAGTTATCAGTATCAGTTTTGTACCTCACTTTCCAAAGATCTCAAAGTACTTTTTCTAACAAAATAATTCTTCATTCCTGGGAGATAAGAGGGTAACAAGCATCTTCATTTTGCAGTTAGGAAATAAAAACAATCGAAACTGCTAAGGTGCACATGGAGCTGTAAGCAATTGGAACTAAGCCATATCCAGAGAAAGAACTATGGAGTCTGAGTGCAGATCGAAGCATACTATTGGCTCTTTTTTTTTTCTTCTGTTTTGTTTTTTTTTTCTTCTTTCTTGTGGTTCCTGCTATTGGTTCTAATTCTTCTTTACAACATGACTAATGTGAAAATATGTTTAATAGGAATGTTTATGTAGAGCCTATATCAGATTGCACACTGTTTTGGGGAGGTAGGTGGGATGAGAGGGGAGAAAATTTAAAACTTAAAAGCTTATGGAAGTGATAGGTGAAAACTAAAAATAAATTAATTTTAAAAAAAGGTTTCTTCCAGCTCTTAAAAAAAAATTCAGAATCTCAGAACTTCTAACAAAAAAAAAATCAGAACTAAGGCTTTTGACTTCTGCACTAGGGCTTAGACTAGAAGGTTTGCTACCTCAGCTGATTTTGGCTTCCTTCCTGTCTTCAGGCAAGGTGCGGAAATGGATAAAGTAATGCAGGAACTGGGTAAGTCACTTACAGATCAGGACGTAAATTCATTGGCTGCTCAACATTTTGAATCCCAACAGGTATGTAATAAGGAATGACTTTCATTCATATAACTACATTTTATGTTTCTTTTTAAAATAAAATGAATTATTCTGGATACTGTTATTAGGTCTTAGAGAATAAATGGACCAATGAGCTAAAACAGTCGACCGCCATCCAAAAACAGGAATATCAGGAATGGGTAATAAAGCTGCACCAAGACCTAAAAAATCCAAACAACAAATCTATCAGGTATTAGTCATCTGAAATATTAAGCATTTATTGTTGTTAACTAAACTGGTAAATAGATTGAGTCTTTTAGGAAAAATGTCTTTTTGATTTGTAGAGATCCCTGAGTAAGAGGTGGAATTTCAAGGTAATTTGTGTTTTTATTTTTAACAACTTTTGGATTACTGACATTTTTTGTTTCATTTGTGTGGCATAGGAGTGTTTTTGGCTGTTACTGTTGTTTGTTTTTTCTTGTAAAAAAGCTTCAAAAACATTTTAAATCCATAAATCTTAATATCACTTGTCTTCCATATATTGCATTTTCCTTTTAAATTGATTTGCCCCTAAGTTAATTTAAAATATGACTAGTTGTAATACAAATGATATCCCCTGTGTCACCTCTTGGCCTCACACTTTTTTCTCTTAAGCTGTTTTTTCAAGCTACCAAAGTTATTTTCACTTTTTTTTAAGCTGCCAGGATACATTGAATTAGATGTTTACTTAAAATGCAGTAGAGTAGTGTCTTGTTTCTCTGTACAGATAGATTCTGTATACACTTAGAAATAATTATATGCTTCTAGTTCATATGGTCACTTTGTATGCAAATAATTTCTAATCTGAATCTTAAAAAACCTTTGTCTGCTTGGTATTTTTATCTTCTAAAATTGGCCCTTTACCCATGTTTTCATATTTCCATGCAGAACAAAATCAGGTCATTTGTCAGTGATTAGAAGTGAAATGACATCCCTGAGAGTTGCTATTTTGGGATGTAAATGTCATCACCTATTTAAAGAGCAGTAAGCACCAGGGAGGCAAAGCCTATCTTTCTTATGGGTGAGACATTGCACACTTACTGTGATATATAGGGAGATTAAAAAGGATCCCATCACAGTATTTCTCCTTTTTAGGTACTATTCCATCCAAAATTAATTTCTAGTATATTTTAAGATGAACTGAATGACATTCATTCCTTTGGGTTTAGCATTGTATTTTATGAGGTTCCTGTTTTAAAATGGTGTTAAACCTCATTATGAATGTTTACCATTGTGCTTCCTTCTGACAGAAGGTTCATATTTGCAACATGATTGGGTACTTGGTGAGGATTGGTTGGAAGGGATGCAAGAGTCACCTACTTTCTGCTTTTACCTAGTGCTGTCCCTGACCCAGGAGACAAATTGGTCAGATGTACTTTATATACTCTCCATATGTGTTCGGAATAATGATAATGACTCACTGAGGCTGGTAATGACTCACATTGTAATTGCATACCTCTCAATCTGTAATGGACACTGTATATGCATTTAGGCAAGGAGTAACTTGATAGATGCACTTAAGGTTGTTGCCTCCAACTTGTGAGCTTTTTCCAGATTAAAAAAACAATCAAGAGATAGAAGAGGTAATAAAATGTATACATTTGATGTCAACAGTTTTGAAATATGTGCATTTTCTAATATTTAACGGTTTTAGGGCATTCACAAATGATCATAATAATAATAATTAAAGTACCCTTTTTTACAGATTAATTTAGAATAATATTTTTGAGCATTTTCATGCTCAATGCATCTTTTACTTGTTTTCCAACGTTGCTAGAAAATATATAGTTGTTGTACCTAAATATCATAGTAGTTCTGAATAATGCCAAAAAAAAGAAAGTAAAAATTTATATTTAGATTGACAAGGCTATTAATACTATGTTACATCATTTCATCTTAAAGTATATTATGATGTGTATATCATATTACTTGCTTACTCAAGGGGGAGAGGAGGGACAGGTGGAAGCAAGAGAATTTGGAACTCAATATTTTTAAAAATCAATGTTAAAAGTTTTCAAAAATGTAATTGGTAAATATTTAATGAAATTAATTTAAAAATATTTTTACAAAAGTATATTTGATGGGAAGATATTGCATATATTTATTATACATTTAGCCATTTGATAACCATTCTTTAATAGGTATAATCATCTAATCAAAGGTACTGATTAAATAGGTTGGAGACAGTACTGCAGACTAGTTCTGCTTAACCCCAGAAGGCAGGATTAGGAACAGTAGGAAGCTACAGGGAAACAGATTTTAGCTTTATACAAAGAAAAGCTTCCCAACAATTAGAAGTAGGAAGGAATCGCTTTAGAAGGTAGTGAGTTCTGTCATTTGAGGGCCTCAAGTAGAGCCTAAATGTCTACTTTTTTTGGAGATATTATAGTAGGATTTCATACTTAAGGGAGAACTTGTATTATCTCTGAGTTCTCTTTCAATGCAGATTCTGATTTGTCATCTTCATTTGACATGAGGCTCTGTTCTCCAAATTCTTAGTAAACCTTAAAGTGTTACATAAGTAAGATCTGTTAGTTACTATTTTTGGTGATGGCTAATTCATCCTGTAAAATATGTTTAAACAACATATTTAAATATTGTAAAATTTATTTAAACAATAGTGGGAGAAACAGGTTGCCAGTTAGGATTTACACAGACTCATTGAAAATCAAATTACTTGTATAAAACTGACGTTTCCATTAAAACGGTACTATATAAAAGGCAACTTTGTCTAGGTAGTAAATCAGTCACTTCAAGGTTGTTATTCTCCCTAAACCAATTTAAAAAAATTAATATACTTCCTTTCTGCCAAAGTATAGCAGACACAGAAATAAAAACTATAGAATCTTAGATTTAGAAAGAAACTTAGAGGCAGTCTAGACCATCTTATTCCTGAAAAAGAATCCCCAACAAATGGTCATCCATCCTTTAAGGAGGGAGAATCCAGCAGCTCCCAAAACATCCCATCCATGGTTCTGATAGAAGTTTTTTCTTCACATCAAGCTTAAATTTCATTTTTTTGAGTTTCCATTTATTACTCCTGGTTTTACCCTCTGAGGCCAAATAAAACTAGTCTAATTCCTCTTTCATATAACTTCACAATCACTTATAGACAGATACTATCTTTTCTGTCTTCCCTTCTCCAGACTAAGTATCCTTCAATTCCTTTAATTGATCCTCTTGTGGCTTAATCTTAGATCCCTGCACCATTCTCATTGTCCTCCTCTGTTTACTCTTCAGCCTCTTTATGTCCTACCTAAAATGTAGTAGCTCCAAAATGAAAACAATGCTTCAGATGTGGCATGACTAGAGCAGAATACAGAGAGGCCAGCACTTCCCTGATCCTGGATGCTACTTTCCTTGATGCAACCTCTTCTAGCTAAGTTGATCCTTGTACAAGTCATAAGGGTAAGAAGTGGCAAAATAAGGACTCACACTTTGTCAAATGGCTAGTACAGTAAAGGAAACAACTTTAGAGTGGTGAAGTAATATAACTAAAGTCACATAGCTAGTAAATATTAGAGGTAACACTTGAAAACTGGTTTTCAGACTCCAGGTCCAGTGCTCAGTGCATTATTACATGTTAGGAGGATTGTTGTTTTTTAAAATCTACATGGAGACTTCAATCTATGTCCATGTAGGGGTGCTCACATTAGTAAACTAAATGATCTTGTGAAGTAAGTGGTGATAGATTGTCATGTCTTAAACTTAGGGATGGGAAATTCTGGTATAAAAATTCTTCCTTTAGAAGTAAAATTGAAGCATGATAAAAGCCTAGTTCTGGCAGATGGAAAATCTGGTTTTTACTTTGATTCTCAGTTTCTTCACTCTCTTTAGCATCTGCCACACTTGTGTTTTTTTTTCCCCCATAAACATTTTTATTTCACTTCAAGTAGGATAGCTATATTGATTTATTTCAGTGCTTTATTACTCAAGTATTCAGATGGGTCTGTGATTTCATTGATTTAGGATTTCCTTCCAGTAGTAGAGTTTGTAACCTTTCTGCTACATGGGGTCCATCCAGTGTGCTGGATGCCTTCCTCTCTTTCTCCTGACATTGCAAGAATACTAGTGGAACATTCTGGGTGGTCATTATCATCCCATCTTCCTTACATATGACCATCCCAGTTTCTTTTCCTGTCATCCAACTCCTTAATATGACATCTTTTTCTCCTTTTCTTCAGAGTTTCTCATTGGTGGCCTCTCTTTTGCCCTCTGAGCGATACTCATTTTTAGTTCTTTGGAGACAATACGGTTCTATGTCTCACTGCCGTATAGCAACACTGGTAGAATGTTAGTATTTAAAAAGTGAGCCTTTGCTTTCATGGGAAACTCGGGTCAGTAAAGAAGTCTGTAATTTCCCAGAAACAATTCATTTTGATTTCCTCCTCCTTAATGATACATTCAGCTCCCTGTTAGTCATTTTTGTTTTGTCATTTCCAGGAAAAAGTTCATTCTTCTTAGCAGAGAAAACAAAAGGAAAATAATAATTGAGCATAAAAAGCATCTTTGCCTTCTCTCTATGTAGTTAATTATCATTTCCCCATATACTCAAAGGGCCTGGCCCTTCTTAGGGCTTCTTTTAGCTTCCTTCACTAGCTTCACCTCCTTCTGAGCGTTAGCATTCTTGACACTATTTCTTCAAGATTGTATCATGCTCTTATAGTCATATTATCTGTCCTTGCTTCCATCTTCTTTGCATTTCTTTTGAAGTTTTAATTGGTTGGTCAGTTTCCTGTGCATTTGCATCAGGGACATCCCATTTTTTCCTCATAATTCTTTTTGTTTGTGATTTCCTCATTAGAATGATTGGAATCGTATATTTTCATAAATTGCAATTATTTTTATAATGGATATTTCAGATATTTATCGTTATTGCTGAAATAGGTGATGACCAAATATCCTGTGCATACTGTTTCTTGTTGCCCCTGGGCACATGATAAAGCCCGTCCTGCCAACTCTTTTCTTTGCTTCTCAAAGGAGAACCTATGAGCCGTCTTATTAAGCTGTAACTCCTCCTTTTGGTTTCACTTATAGCAAGAATATCAAGATTGACATGATTCAAGTCTTCCTGTATTATGCCTGTGTATTAGTTATTGGATAAATATCTCACATTTAGAATATCTACAGTCAAATTTAAATTTATTGATGGTCTGAAAACTGATTTTTAGCACTCTTTGCCCCCTTTCACACCACTGTGATACCATGGCCTGCATAGGTCAAAGGGCTGTTTTAAATTTCCTTTGTTTTCCGAGGTTGCCAAGGCCAAAATAATAAGTAGATGGCCATTCTAATGATGGTGTGCTTCTTGCTTATTAGCTAGGTTAGTCCTCATAAAATAGACTACATGTGTTGCCAGGACTGTCCTCAAAGATTTTCCAGCAAGATAGAACCTGCCAGAGTTTCCACTGCCCTAGCAAACAAGGCATTTGAGAATCCAGGACATTTCCACGCTGTGGAGAGGCAGTAGAAAAGCACTTGGTTAGTTCAATCAGAAAGAATACCTGGCAGGCATGTTCTCATTGTACACAACATGTTTTCTTGGAAAGTTCCTGTTTTGGAAGGGGACAATGTGGGAATTTGTTTTTCTTGACTTTGCGTGTTTGTCACAAGAGTTTTGTCTTTCTTTTTCTCCTCTAAGTTGGAGGGAATGATTTGAAGAAGAGAAAAGAATATGCTTGTAAATTGAAAAATAAAATTTAAGAAAGAAAAACGTGTGTGGTTTTTATAATTTTTAAATGTGTCATATTCTAAATGCATTGAATGAACTCACTCCGAAGTTATGAGTTCTTTTATAAAGCAAACTATTAGATAATTGTAGTCCTGCATATTTTTAATGAAAATTGCATAATCTTCATAGTGAGCCTATAAACTAGTATTCGCTCATCTATGATATTTGCATTAAAAAGTATTAAATGTTAAAAATTAGAATTTAATTGATTATTGTAGTCCTGTTTTGTTTCCATGGATACAGTAAGGATTAGGTTGGGGATGAGTTAAGTATTCCTTTCCAGTTGTTCAGTTTTTTCTCATTTCATTTTCAAAAGTGCTTTTGTTTAGAACTTGCCAATAACCTTTTTAAAAACATGTTTCAGTGAAGAAATTAAAGTTCAGCCCAGTCAGTTCAGAGAATCTGTAGAAGCAAATGGAAGAATTTATGAAGATCAAAGGAAGTTAGAAGAAAGCTTTACCATTCACTTAGGTAAGTGAATCACAGGGCTGTAGTAATTACAATAATTGATTTTTGTGTTTTTATAAGAAAAAGAATGCTTGGCATATTAATCCAGTGCATTTTTTTCACTCACTTTTTAAATACAAGTTGCCTGCTGACCCAAGGAAACCTATTAGTCTTAAGGCTGCTAGGTAGCACAGTGGACAGAACACTGGGCCTGGAGTCAGGGAGAACTGAGTTCAAATCTGGCCTCAGAGACTTACTAGCTATGTGTCCTTGGGTGAGTCACTTAACCCTTTCTGCCTCAGGTTCCTCAGTTGGAAAATGGAGGTAATAATGACAATTACCTTCCAGGGTTGTTGTGAGTATCAAACAAAATGATATTTTTAAAGTGCTTAACACTGTACCGGGCACATAATATGCACTTTTATTGATGCTAGCTATAATCATCATCATCATCATCATTATTATAACATTATTGGTCATCTGGCATATAAAATTATTAAACATATAAAATTAGCTATTAAAATGAATTAGAGTATAGACCAAGCCCCTTTCATTAGTTTTAACACAGGCTTTATTCTGGGTTTCTCTTATACCATTTTAGCCCTCTGTTACATATTTGCAGTTATCCATATATTTTTATTGGTGGCATGTAGCATCCTTTTCTGTTCTTTGTACAAGTTCATGTTTGCTTGTTTGTCAAGTTTAGTATAAAATTACCTTAAAATATGCACATATATAATTGTAAGGCTATTTCTTACCCCTAGGAGCCCAGCTGAAGACCATGCATAATTTGAGATTACTGAGAGCAGACATGTTAGACTTCTGTAAACACAAACGAAATCATCGAAGTGGTGTAAAACTCCATCGGCTGCAGACAGCACTCTCGCTCTATTCAGCATCTCTCTGTGGCCTCGTTTTATTGGTAGATAATCGCATCAATTCATACAGTGGTATTAAAAGAGGTGAGTTGATCCCCTTTCATATATTCTCATTTTATTTATTAAATTTCTTCTTACGTACCTTTTTCAGAAATCTTTTTTTTTCACATAACACACATATCTCAGTGGACAGAGCAATACACCAAGAACTAAAGCATAGTTATTTAGCACAGATTTCATGCTTCTCTGTTAACCGCTTACTTTTGACTCATTTTTCTTTTTTCCCTACCAGAGTTCGCTTATACTTTGGTTATATAGATTCATAATGATATATTGGTTAATAATGAAATTATAGTATAATTAACTATAAAAATAGCACTCTGAGATAAAATGGCTTATATAAAGCTGACCAAAAGAAAGGGTTTGGGATTGGAATCAGAGATCATTGGTTAGAATTCCAGCCACTTGCTGTTTTTTGACTATGGGCAAGGCATTTAACCTCTCTATGTTTCAGTTTCATCATCTGCAAAATGAGAGGATTGGATTTAATGATTTCCAAGTGCCCTCCCACCTCTAAATCATCTATGAGGCTATGTACCGGTACCAGGACTACCAAGAGTGTAAATTAAAAGAACACTAATAGAGAGCTATAACTGAGTAACTATAATGACAAGTCTTGGTCAGTCTTGGTCCTAGAGAATAAATAATGAAACATACATCCCTTCTCTGAGCAGAGCGGTGAGGAACTGTGTGGCAAAAAATTGCATCCATTGTCATACATGGTCAGATCACTGTATGTGATTTTTATTTTTAACTCTTCCTTTTTTATAAGAGAAGGTTCAGTTCCCAGTTAGGGGAAGGGAGGGAAGTCCAATAATTGTGATGTGAAAACAAAAGGCATCAATCGAAGTTATTTTAAATAAAGTAATGGGATTTTATAATTTAAGTGACCTAAATAGATCCCCAGTATCTGGGAGCAAGATTGAAGCTTTGTTGTTATTGTTGTGTCATTTCAGTCACGTCCGATTCTTTGTGACCCCATTTGGGATTTTCTTGGGAAAGATACTGAAGTGGTTTGCCATTTCCTTCTTCAGCTCATTTTACAGATGAGGAAACTGAGGCAAACAGGGTGAAGTGACTTACCCAGGGTCTCACAGCTAGTGAATGTCTTGAGGCCAGGTTTGAACTCTGAAAGATAAGCCTTCCTGATTCCAGATCCAGCAGTCTACCACTGTACCACCTGGCTGCCCAGGTGCTTGTATGTTGCTGATTCCAACTCCAGCACACTATCTACTACACCTAGAGTAGCAGTTCATTTTTAAATGGGTTAAATTAAACACATCCGAGAATGTAACTTTTTTTAAAGAGCTGTCAGGCCTACTAGAGTTCATATTTCATTTTTAAGAACCTTCATGTACTCTCTCTTTTTAAACTTAATTGTAATAATTTAAAGGGTAACAAGTATTTGAAGAAATTTAGAATCATATACAACTTCTTTCCTTTATCTCTTTGTCCTTGAATATCTCCTTGAATGTTTGTCCTCTATGTATTATATGTGTGCATGATGACTCTCTCCTTAGAATATAAGGTCTTTGAGGACAGGGAGTTTCACATTTGTCTTTGTATCCCTGGTGCTTAGTACAGTGCCTGACGAAATTGTAGGCACTTAATAAATGCTTATTGTTTCAGTTGAGGGCCCGGCCACATAACCACTGTCCAAGGAAAAGCTTAGATAAAGGGTTGGCCGCCATATAATGACTTTTTCAGCCATCGCACGTTAAGCCATCAACTAAGGTATTCAGTCTGCATAGGGAGAAGGAACATCCCTATTGATGAGATTATAGATTTTTAACAATTTTTTTAAAATTCTAAACTTAAATCTCCCCAAAAACAATTTTCAAAAATGCAATAGAATGCAAAAAGAGAATTGTATATGAAACTATGTATCTCTATTTCATACTAATTACTTTAAAAAAAAAGTATATAATACATTTCCTGTGTTACTTTAAAAACTGCCCTGCTTACTTCTGAGTTTCATTTTCTTCTGTGCATTTAAAAAATGTTTCAAGTTCTTTTGGGTAGCTCCCCTTTTCTCCCAGCCCCCAATTTAAAAAGGTATGGGGTAAAGGGGGAGCCTTTTAACAAATTAAGTATAGTCAAGCAAAATTAATCCTTACAGTGGCCATGCCTTGAAATGTATGTCTCTTTCTGCACCTTGAGTCTACCAGTTCTCTGTCAGGAGGGGTGTATAACATGCGTCCCCATAGATCTGGAGGCATGGTTGATCGTTGCGTTGATCAGAGTTCTTAGGTCTTTCAGAGGTGTGTTTCCTTACAATCTTATTATCCTTATATAAATTGTTTTCCTGGTTTTCACTTCACTTTCCCTCAGATCACACTACCCAGGGTTTTCTAAACATCATCTAATTTCATCATTTCTTACAAATAATAATATTCCATTAAATTCATACACCACAATTTGTTCAACCTTTCCCCCAAATGATGGAAAGTTCCAGTTCTTTTCTCTTTCTTTCCCTTCCATTTAATACCCATTTCAGGACAAGAAAATTTATTTTGCTTGCAACAAGCAAAATCCATCTTTTTTTTTTCTTAGAATTTGAAGACAAATTTATTCCTACTCCAGTAGGGCCAGCCCTACCTTTTTCTTTTTCTTTTTCTTTTTTTTTTAAGTGAGTTTTTACTGATATTTTTTGCTTCTTACATCACGATAGTATCCCATATATCCCTCCCCTTTCTTCTTCCAGAGAGCCATCCCATATAAGAAATAATATCTTTTGGAAAGGGGGGAGAAAGTTAACACAGCTCATCAATGCATTGAAAAAGTCCAAAACATGTGCAATGTACGCACCTGTGGACCTCCCACCTCCATAAAGTATTAGGTTGGGGATGTCTTCTCATAGCTCTTTATTTGAGTCTCACTTCCATCATCTTTTTAAATATTTCCTTCCTGGTATTATCCTCCCTCTTAACTCTACCTCTGTCCTTGCTTGTTATTCCTATTAAGTTTGTTATATTTCTGCTTCATTCTGTTTGTGTGTGTGTTCAACTCTCTTTTGTCTTTTTCAAATAAGAGTGAAGTTCATCTGCCTAACCCCCCCCTTCTCCCTCCTCCATGTTTATATGCTCCTTTTCTTATGCATCCCAGTTATAAATAGCAAGTTCTCCTTTTTTCCTTCTTTCTATACCACTGTATTCCTTTTACTTTTCCTTCTCTTTACCCTCTTAAAACTCTCGGAACAGAACCAGTCCACCCCTGGTGTTCTATTTTCTTATTTAATTCTCTCAATACCCTTTGGAGACATTGAGGTTTTGAGGGGACACTTGTCTCTTCTCCAATTTAAAATATTAATGCCACATCATCATAATGGCCCTTTGAATTCCTCAAATTTATCTTCCTAGATTTCTCTTGAGTCTTATGTTTGCATTTCAAAGTCCTTGCTCAGCTCTGATCTTTTGATTAGAAATGCTCAAAAGTCCTCTATTCCACTTGAGACAACTGGTGACCCAGTAAACAGAGCACTGGGCCCAGAGTCAGGAAGACTTGAGTTCAAATCTAGCCTAGCTATGTGACCCTGAGCAAGTCACTTAAACTCTCTTTGCCTCAGTTTTCCTCGACTGTAACATGGGGATAATAATAGCACCTACCTTACAGAATTCCAGAGTTTAAAGCAATGTAATGAGGGTGTTTTAGCCTGAGAGGACCAGAACTAGAAGCACATATATATTCCCTGCCTAGTTTCAAGTCCAAATGACCACCTTGAAGTTTAGAGGAATATGTGGTGGAAGAAGTTACTATAATTTCTCATCGGATTTCTTGATCATTATTTGGACTAATGCTAATTTCAAGTTTTTGTTAGAGTAGATACGTGACATTTGTACTGTCTACCTCCATTAAAGCAGCCATCTTGGCCAGAAGTCAAAATACTAGATTTTTGAAGTACTTAATTTCTTATATTAATTGAAGATGGAAGTAAGAGAGATGGATTATAAATCTTTTATTTATATGTGTGTGTGCTAGAGTTCCTTGTCCATAAGTAAAAGTCCAAGATTCAACAACTGATTTTGAAGTTTTTATGTAAATTTTTGTATCTCTTAGATTTTGCCACAGTTTGTCAAGAATGCACTGACTTCCATTTTCCTCGGATTGAAGAGCAGTTGGAAGTTGTCCAGCAGGTGGTACTTTATGCTCGAACCCAACGCAAGAGTAAATTGAAGGAACCAAATGGTCAGTAAAACAAAGAAATTGTATTTTTTTAAGGCCCACCAAAAAATTTAAATTTCATTTATTATTGATCATTAGTAACACCGCATTTAACGATACATTGTCAAGCTCTATCTTGCCTGGTGAATTCTGTTGTAGCGATTTTCTTAATGTTTCTTTCAAAATATGTTTTATTCTTAACCCCACTCAACAGTAGCACTTGGGTCACATGCCTTGAATGGTATGGTGATTAATAGTGATGAGACATAGAACGCTTATCAGTTTTGTGTTTTGAGTGTTCTAACACATGAATTCTTCTTTTTTTTTTGTCTCAAGCTTTGTGAATTTGTTTTATAGTTAGCATAATACTCTGAACAAAGTGGACATTAAACAAAGGCTGTTGCTTCACTATCTCAGTCAACTATAAAATGTATATAATTTTGCTGTAAGATTTTTCTTATTTGTATTTGTATTGTGTGTGCTATTTCAGATCCACAAGTGGAAGGGAAAGCTCTAATTTTTTTTTTAAAAAAATCATTTTCTCCCTTTCACACATTTAAAAAGCATGAAGGTAACATTAGTTCATTTCCTTTTTCCCCTCTATTTAGTGTTTAATAGAATCTTGTAAAACAGTATAGTAAGTTCCTGGTTGTGCTAATTGCTTATTGTTTCCTTGAGCTCTTTTTTGTTGTTGTTATTGTTTTAATCTCTGTCCTCAAGACAAGTGTCTTTACAACTTATTTTCTGAACACTTTGTAAATATTAATATTAGGGGGCAAAAAGGACCAGGAAAAAAATGCTTTTCATTGAATAAATGAATTTTTTATCCTTTCTCCTTAGGTGTGCTATAATCACAAAATATTGGTAAATATTGGTTTAAGAGAAAACTCTGATCAAATTCCAGAACCCTTTGCTTTGCTCTTCTTTGGATTAAAAAAGCCCTCAATTTAAAAAAAAATCTTTTAAAAAGTTATGTAGTTTGTTGTCATAGATCATGCAAAGTTTGCATGCAATGCAATTATCCACAACATAAAATTCCCCAATATAGTTAAGCAAAACAGTATTAAAGAGCAGTTGCAACTCTTAGGCAGTACTTGCAATTTTACTCTTTATTTGCTTTTTGTTTGTTAAAAGAAAGAAAAGATGTGTGTTTCATAAGTTAGTTCCAATTTTGTCCAAACTATTCTGTTGTCACTTAGAGTTTATTTTTTATATGGTTGTAATAATTGTATATATTGTTCTTTTCATTCTGTTTTGTTTATTTAACATCATTTCTTTCAAATCTCATATTTCTTTACATCTTCATAAATTAGACACATAAATTCATGTCAAAGTAGACACAAACCTCCTTTTTGGTCTAAAAATTTAAGTGTAAATATTGCTTTTAAACACTTTTGATAAATGAATATCACACATCTCATGTAAAATTGCCTTTCTTTTTACAATTATGCATTCTTATAGTATTATATGATTTAGGCACAGAATTGCAGTAATTACTTTGGTCTGTATGTACTCCCAGTAATTTATTATGGTATACAAAAATATGTACTTGGTACATACACAGAATACTTGATACATTATAAAATTTAACCTACTGAATCTGCTTCCAAGCATATATGATCCCTCTTTATGGCTACAATTTTTTAAATAAATCACAAGGGAAAAAAAATTATTCTGCTTTTTGCTTCATGGATATTCTTCCTTTCCATTTCTAGTGTAAATCAGAGCAGTGATATTCATGTTCACCTAATTAGTGTAGTTAACTTCTCCCAGTCTAAATCCCTCATCTGTAAAACAAGCCAGTTGGGCTACATGAGCTCCCAAATCCTGTGAAATCCTCTAAGTTAATGACTTGCCAGAGGTGCTAAGTAGCAGAATCAGGATTCAAATCCAAGTCTTCTGACTTAACTGTTGAATTCCTACCATAGTACACATCAAATGCTGTCTTCTCTAGGAAGCTTCCCTTTATTCTTCTAGTTAACAACCTACCCAGCCCGGACCTTCATGTATTATTGAGTATTCATTACAATTGAACTTTTTCTCATTCACTGAGAACCTAAAAGTTAAACTAATTAAACAGTCCTATGGCTTGCTGTGAAACATGTTTCAGGACAGAGCTGACCACATGAAGAAAATGGAAGAGAATTTATCTCACCACTAATGTTACAGAAATGCCCTGATACAGGCTTCCCTCTTCCTCCATCCATCCTCTCTTATTTTACTCATTCAAGAATGACAAGGACATGAAGACTGGGGCCTCTACAGGTGTGGAAGAGTTTGGGAGAATTCTGACTATATTGACGAGACAGCATGTGTGCTACAAATGACAGGAAGTTTGCAAACCACAGGCAGTGCATGTACATCGTGATGTTATTTTGTTCTTGTTCAAGCAACTACTTTTGTGGTTTGAGTGAGTCAGTAAAACAAGTAGGGTTATAAAAGTCCACTTTCCTAAAGGAACCCCCACATGTTGTTATATAAAAATACTCTCATGAATGGATTTGACATAGTTAGACTTATGTTTTCAGAATAGCACTTTGGAAGTTGTGTCTAGGATGGCTTGGTGGTTGTGTCTTCAAGAGAAATAAGGAAGTTGGGAAGAGGGCCAAGTTTGGGGGAAGATATGAATTCTTTTTGGACATTTAAATTTTAGACTCCTATAGGACATGCAGTGGGAAGTAACTGGTAGGCAGTTGATAATGTAAGACTAGAACTCAGGAGAGAAACTCGGGCTGAATAGATACATCTGGGAGTCATCTGCATAAAAATGATCCTTGAACCCACTGATCTCACTGAGAAAAAGTGAGAAAAAAGAGCCCAGAAGAGAGCCAGAGGATATATACAGAACACAGGACATGAATAAGGATTTAGCAGAGGAAACAGAGGAGGAATAACCAGACAAGTAGAAAAAGAACTAGGAGAGATCAGTGCCACAAAAGCTCAAAGAAGAGAGATTATCTCAAAGGGAGGGAATGCGCAGCAATATGAAATGCTTCCAAGGTCAAAGTTGAGAACTGAGAAAAGGCCTTTGGCTTTGGTAATTAAGAGATCATCGGTAGCTTAGGGGGAGGAGCAGTTTTAGTTGAATGATGAGGTTATAACCCCCTTTATTAGATGTGGGAAAAAGAGTAAAAGGAGTGGAGATGGCCTTAAGAATGAGGAAACCAGAACATCTTTGCAGGTTACCCTGAAGGCGCCAATAGAGATAGATAAATAATCAATTTTATTTTTACTTCACAGATAAAAATTTTCAAATATATGAATGAATAAGACAGATGAATGACAGACAAAATTATAGGATCATGGATCTAGTGCTCAAAGGGATCTTGGGACTATCTGATCCAACTTCCTGATTTTAAAAATGAGAAAATAAACAAGAATAATCCATCCCCTTCTCCACTCCCCCCAAAACCCAAATATCCCATTCCTTTAAAAAACAACCATGGATTAAACAAGGTAAAATGAAAAAAGAAAAGAATTACATGTAACCATACCCTTACTGATAAAAAACATAGTGAATATGCACATTAACTTTCACAAGGTAATGAGGAGAGGCATTGTAGTGGATAGAGAGCTAGCCCATGGAAGATATTGGTCTAGAAATCCTGCTTCTGACATGTACTAGCTGAGACCCTGGGCACCTCTCTTAACCTCTGGGGGTTGCCTGGAGGTAACTTGCAAAGAACATAACTTGTAGAGAAGGTACAGATCTGCCTTAGTATGAGGGAGTTTCCTCCCCAAGAGTTCTTTCCTCCAATGACATCTCAGATCAGATACAAAAAGAAAAAAAATCCCCATTGTATTTGCTGTTTGTTTTTCTTCATAAGTAGATTTGAGAATCATTTTCATAAAGATAATATTTGAACCTTGTGGAAGTTGACAAGATCCCTGAGAGTGTACAAAGGAAAGAGAAGAAGGCTACAGACAGTCTTGGGGACATTTACACTTAGTGGAAGTTGAGTCAGGCCCAAATAGAGAAGACTAAAGGAATAGGTAGAAGACCTAGAAGAGAGAAGACCACAGAAGCCAAAGGGAGGAGAAAGGGTATGAGAAGACGAGGTAGTTGAGAGAAGTCAAGGAAGAAGAGGACTGAGATGTAGGATTTAAACATTTTTTGTTGACCTTTGAGAGTATAGTTTCAGCAAAATGACAGAATTAGAAGATAGATACAGAAGGTTGAGAAGTAATGAAGTAAAGTTGGGGCTGCATTTTATAGGTGAATAAGAGCATAGATTTAGAGCTGAAAATGACCTTAGAATTCATTAAGTTCAACCTTTTTGTTTTACAGATGAGGAAACTGAGACCCAAGAGGGTATAAGAGTTAGAACTCAAAACCAGATCTTCTCATCCCTAGTCCAATATGCTTTCCACTTCACCATACACTTCCTGTTATCTTGAGCAAGTTATGTCACTTTTGGAGCCTCAGTTTCTTCTTCTGAAGGATATAAATAACTGTGCCAAGTATATCTCGTTAAAAAGTTACATAGCTTTAACTCATGTATGATATCTTAGGCTCTTTAAAAATGAAAAAGACTACATAAATACAAGATATTGGCTATGGTAGTGATAATCTTCTCCCATTTTGTGTACAGATTCAGGAAACCGGAATGGAGGAAGTGATGATAAGGCTAAGAATATTGAACGAAACTATTCAAATATTTTGCCTGGTGAGTACTATTTTTACTTTATGTTTTTATGTTCATTTAATATAGCTTTTTTATACTATAATTTAGGGACCGTCTACCAGTCCAACTAAAATGTTGAATTTGTACAATATGATTTGGCATTTTATCTTTTTTGTATCTTGGTTTAAGTATCAACTTCACAGGAAAATATGCTGCCTGATTCCAAAGGAGAAAGTTCTGTCATTTAGTTGTATGGGTATTGTCACATTTAACTTAAGATTTCCTTTTTATTCATTGTTTTTTAATTTCTTAGAGAGATGAGCCAAGAAGTATTTACTCCTTCTGAGATATAAACAGGAGAATTGAACTTCTAGTACATGGGTCATCTGATTTAGAATCTGTCTTATTTTCATTTCCCAAAAGATTATCTTACTTCCGCTTTCTTTCATTTCCTGTAGTGTTCTTGGATGTTTATTCATCCTTTTACCAACTGGAAATTTAGAGGTTCTTCTTCCTCATCCTGGTTACCTCACTTGATCTCAGCTACAATGTGCTACAATTTTCTCATTTGTAAAAGATTACCAGCAGGGCCTTATTAAGCATTTTGTGTTTGGAAGAATTTTTAATTGAATTGTAAACTTGACAATATTCATATATTACAAGTCCAATATGGTAGTCATAGAATTTTAGAGAAGGGGACTAGAGACCATTTAGTTCAGTGTTCACCAATCCAAAGTGTCCTATAGAATAGGCAAAATGCCTAAATTCTCTACTGTAGACTGTTCTACCCTTTGCACCCTTAGTGATTAAGGGGTCAGAGACCAAGAATTAGGGAGAAAGAAGAGAGGGGGGACAGAAAAGCAAGACACAGGGAGGGATGAGACAATTTTTTAAAGTTGATAGATTTTAATAAGTAAAGACCTTTTAATAATAAATTTTATACGCTAGTGAAAATTTAGTGTGGCTTGCTAGTTTTCTAACTAGTGTTTTCTAACACTGATCTAATTTGACTTTCTTCCCGCCCCCTTATTTATTAATAAATGAAGAAACTGAAGCCCAGATTCTCTGAGGTAGGGCCAGAGTTTGGAATAGGACCCAGTGTCCTGCCTGCTAGTCCATTCTTCCCCTGATTAATTAGTTTCATTACAGTCACATCTTAAGAATAGATTTTTATACATGTATGTCACATTACATTTTAATCAGGTAAACATCATACCCATTTCTTGTGCTCTTCATGACAATCCAGCTGGCTAACTTGTGGTTGTCAGGCTTCAAATTTCCTTCCACCTTCAGATCTGGTACCTTGGTGGATAATGTTAGCAGCAGTATTACATCATCTCATGCTGTTTCCTCCACCTTGTGGAACAGGAAGCTATCTTCCACTCCATCTAAAAATACATTCATTGAGACAGGGTTCATCATATTCCTTTCCATCAGCTCCATAATTAAAATCATCCATATTTTGTGGCTTTCTTAAATTGTGCCAGTCGTGTTATCTGTTCCGGAGGCGCTGACGTCTGAGATTTTTTTTGTTGTTTTTAGCTTTACTCTTTTGTTGTATCAGTATTTTCTTCCTTGAACTCCTTGCTCTTTTCTGGCAAAACCTGGTAGGTTAAGTGGCTGGTTATTGCTTTTGAACCAGGGTTTTATTGTAGGTCCAAATTATGGAAAAGAATATTAAAGTATTAAGTGATAACTTAGCTCATAGTAAATCAGTGCCAAGGGAACAGTGCTTTCATAAGCACTTTCATAATATGAAACGTAAGATTTCATATTTGAAAAGACAATTTATTGATGAAAATAATCAATATCTTCTTTGTGTGCCTCCATACCACTTAAACAGTACTTTGCATGTAGTAGGAACCCAATCAATGTTTAGTTTAACTTAATATTGACAGATAAGTTGCTCCTATTTTACTGAAAAGGAAAATGAGGCTAATAGAAAAGTTACTGAAGTTGCCCAAGTCAGAAGCAGTGCTGGTACTAACACTCCCTACAAATGATTCTAGAATTTTTTAAGTTATTTTGCCTCCCAGGTAAACTTTGGCTGTTGTTTGACCTGCAGGCGTTAGGTTAGCAAAGAATATAGTCCTTCGAATGCAATAATAAGGCTGAATGAAGTCTATTGAAGAACTGCATTGTCTCCATCATTCCAATAGAGCAGCAATAGGTCACCTGTGCTGCTGAATAACAACTTACATTGTCAGAGTGATGTAATGTTTGCAACATGCCTTTCTCATAACAATCCTTGACATAGGTAATACAATTATTATTCCTATTTTGCAGATGAGTTAACCAGGGCACAGAGAGGTTAAATAATTTGCTATAGGCCACACAAGTAGTAAGTGTTAGACCTGTGACTTGTTCTTAAGCCTTCTGATTTTAAAAGAAGTGTTATTTGACTCTGCCACCCTGGTGTCCAAGTGAACTAAATGAACCCAAGCTATAAATGTCACTTTACCATTCCCCACCATGCTGTCTTCTTGGATCTGTCATCTTCTTTTCCTTTCCCTTCCTCTTATTCCCTTCTGTTCCCTTTTTTTTCTTCATGTCTTCTTTTTTTCTTCCTATTTCGCCTTTGTCTCAGGTTAACAGTGGTACCTTTGAATATTTCTTATATCCACTGATAATGCTTAGGGCTAAAGATTGTTGTATGTATCCTAGTGTGCCAGAAATGCAGACTTGCTAAGCAGAACCCTAGGGACCTAAAAAAAAAATTAATGCACATTTAGAAACATTTTATTCCTTTGTCACTAACCGAATCAGAGCCAGTGATGATTCTATGTGCAGGATGAGATTTCTTATTGTTCCCACTCCTTTGCCCCTCTTGTCAACTGTTTCTTTACCTACCTAGCCAGTGTGAACCAAGGCAGTGGTGCAGGAATTAGGGAGCAGTCATTTTTTTTGTTTTTTCAATTTAAAATTTTTCTCTCCTGCTCCCCCCAAAGAAAAAAGAAATCAAAACCCCTTTAACAAATATGCATGGTCAAGTAAAGCAAATTCATGTCCAAAAATATTTATCTCTTTCTGCACCTTGAATCCATTCATCACCTCTGTCAGGAAGAAGTTAGCATGCCGTCATTGGTCTTCTAGAATTATGGTTGATCATTGGGTTGATCAGAGTTCTTAAGTCTTCCAGAATTGTTTGTCTTTATAATGTTGTATAACGAGTAATAAATTTTTCTCCTGGTTCTGTTCACCTTGCATCACTTCATACAAGTCTTCCTAGGTTTCTCTAAAACTGTCTTTTGTGTCTATTCTTATAGCACAAAAATATTCCATGATATTCTTATGCCATAATTTGTTCAGCCGTTCCACGCTTGATAGACAACATTAGAGTTTCCAGTTCTTTGCCACTATGAATATGTTTTTACTTATTGATCTTTTTCTTCTTATCTTTTATCTCTTTGGGGAATAAGCCCAGTAGTGGTGTGGCTAGGAACTCATAACTGTCTGACTTCCCATAGAGACTTACAGTTCACACAATTTAATAGTATTGATTTAGCTACAACATTTCATAACGTATTGGTTATAGCTTTTAGTACATACATTGGATGTAATTGAGAGTAAGTTATTCATTTGAAAAATATAGTGATGTCTCTTGTTTGTAGGAGAATTTTATATTACCCGGCACTCCAATCTCTCTGAAATCCATGTGGCTTTCCATCTCTGTGTGGATGACAATGTGAGATCTGGTAACATCACAGCTCGTGATCCTGCCATAATGGGCCTCCGAAATATTCTAAAAGTTTGCTGTACTCATGACATCACAACAATTAGTATTCCTCTCTTGCTGGTGCATGATATGTCAGAGGTAAGGTGGTGAAAAATTACTATGATTGCATGAATATATAACAAACTGTGTTATTGACAGTGTTGGACAGTGACAGAAAATCCAAAATGGTGAATAATTTAGAATCATTTATATTTAGCTTTGAAATAGATTACATGACTTCTTTTTTTTTTCTTTCTTTTTTTGGGGGTGGGGTTTAGCAGCAGCAAATTTATCTTCTGTATTATTTGGCCTCTTAATTCAAATTAGCTTGCATTATCTCAGCATACACATAAGTTGGTGGTGGGAAGAAATGATGTCTTGATGATATCTGAAAAGGGCAAAACCCGTGAACAAGTTGTCAAGAGCTGCTTTCTACACTGGAATAGCATTGTGATCTTAAAAGTGAACTAGTCATTTATTCACCCATTCTGCACTATTATTTATTTTGAACATTTTCTGAAGATTTCTCCCCATTGCCTCCTCATCATCCACTTTCATTACTTACAACCCCATAACCTCTCCCCTCCTTCTCCACAAAAAAAAAAAAGAAATTGCAGAGCCAAGAGCTGAAGCACGGACTGAGAGGGCTATAGTAACCCAAAGTTGAAAACGACAAAGAGAGTTAGAATCCACAATAGACCTGGGATAGATAATGGACCTAGCTGCCATCTGGAGAACAGGATAGGACTCATAACAGTAATTCTGCAGTGTGCCTTTGGTCTAGATCTGTGATTTCATCAGTTTGGGGGAACCATACTGGTAAAGAAACTCCTGTTGTCAATAATGCCCATTGGTAGCTGCCCCAATATTTATATCCTTAGAGACTTGACTCAGGCATTGAGAGCTTAAGTGACTTGTCAGGCCAGGGTTATAGAGGTAGTCTGTGTCAGAGGTAGGACCTCAGCCCAGGGCTTCTGGACTTGGAGACCAGCTCTGTATCAGACTACTTCATGCTGGCCTTCACCCTTAAATGGAAGTGGAAGGAAGGAAGAAAGAAAGGAGGGAGAGAGGGGAGGAAGGAAGGAGAAAGAAGAAGGAAAGAAGGGAGGTCCTACATTTGGTAGATGGAAAATTATGAGGTGAAAATGTATTCATTAAACTAAACATGAAAATTTTATGTCAATGGCATTTTACAGTATAGTGAAAAGATAGCGTAACTTTTTTTTTTAATGGCTTGACCTGTTTAAGAATAAGATTATATAGTTTTTACACAGGGCATAATTTGAAACAGATCACAACTAGGTTAGGGATAGTCTACTGCAAACGATTGGACTTAGAGTCAGGAAGACCTGAGTTTGAATCCAGCCTCGGGCATTTACTGGTGCTACAACTGAACAGTTTATTTAACCTTTTGGTCTCAGTTTCCTATCTATAAAATAGGGATAATAGCACCTATTTTACAAGTTTGCTCTGGGATTCAAATGACATCATTTATGTAAAGTTCTACATAAGTTCTACAATAAGTATTATTATTATTATTTTATAAATGCAAAGGATTATTAGTACTCAATTAGTATTCAGTATATTTTAAGTGACTTGCGCCTCCTATTCCTTTGATCTTTTAACCAGACTTTAACCTTTAGATTTTTGAAAATTGTGACATTTTCTTATAGAAAATGAATGAGATGACCTAATTTCCCTTTCAATCCCTTTTGTAACCTAAACTGTGCACAGCAAGGTATCAGGAGAGCTTAGGTTATAGATTTGTTTTTCATCATTCTCTTCTCCCTCCCCACTCCCCACTTTCTCCACCATATTTCCTTTATGAAATCCCACTTCCAGCAATAAAATCCTCAATCACATAGATGAACTTGTTGCCATTTTTGAGTTACAGCCACTCAGTTGTCCATCTATAAGAGTATTTGGAGAATAAAGTAACAAAGAAAGTTCACAAGGAAACATACAAATAATTCTGCAGCTGTGGTCCTGGTTAACCCAGTTTATAAAAATGGTTATATGTAGGTGGAAAACAACCTCAAAAACAATGTTTCCAAAAGTCACTCAGTTCAGATTAACTTCCAGACATCTGATACTGTTAGCATTCCCTCTCCCACAATGGGTTACAAAAGTTGCATGTTTTAAATTAGGACAGCCAGCTGCAGAACATTAAACTGGTTTCCAAAGCATTCAATTTAATTCACATAAGTATATCGAGCCATGATTCTCCAGTTGTATTTAAACCTCCCATCCAGGTCATGAAGTTTATCCTGCAAATCTAAACATCAGTAAAGTGGCTATAGAGGTAATTGTACTTAGCTTCCTATGTAAGGCTCCTTAACTATTTTACAAGGATTGGTTTTTTACATGCAATAAACAGGATTTTAGGAATTTGCCATAATACCTTGGTGTACAAAGATGACAGGTGCCCAAGCCCAGATTTTTTCCTTCATGTCATAATAATTTGTGTCTGCTAGCCGTAGCAATTTCATATTTTTGCCACCTTAAAAGTAAGGGTGTGTACTGAATATAGATCCATTTTTGCTGTGGATTCAGACCTGAGCAGCTGTGAATGTCTTGTGTCTTAGGGCAAAGTATTGAATGAAATTTATTGCACCAAAAATAAAGAAGCAATGCAGAGAAAAAAAGGAAAAGGAAAGAAAATACATATTTATTTAATCAAGACAAACATTGGTCATCAAGAAGAAATATAGGCTATCAGTTTTGACTCTTGTGATCTGAGAATTGTTGCATGTAATCATTGGCATCAGCCTTGAATTCATAGGAGATAGAATTAGGAGTCTAGACTGCTGAGCTGCGGTTACTCTACCCACCTTCCCTCCCTGGTTATCATTAGGTAGCTGAGTAATTTTAGTCTCTCCAGTGTCCACTTGGTCAACAAGGGTTTTTTAAGTGCCTGCTATGTACCAGGCATTTGATTAAGTGCTGAGGATACAAAGGTATAATCCATAGCACTTGGAAACAGATTTGGAGATGACACCTAGAGTGTCTGGGTGATTAGGAGGTTTGTCGTACCCTCAACACTAATAAGGATGTTAGGAAGAGGGGAAGGTTTGTGAGGAAAGATAATCAGTTCAGTTTTGGACATAGTGAATTATCCGATTCAAAATGTCCAATACGCATTTGGAAATACAGGAGAAAATTTCGGGCTAAACAAACAGATCTGAGAATCATCTCTGTAAAGCCGGGCAGTAGTCATGACCACCACCTCACAACGTGGTTGTGAGATTGCATGGTAACAGTGTTTCAGGCAGCTTAGCAAGACATGCTCGAGGAATGCAAGACAACAGCAGAATGTCTCTAGCCTAGGCCAACCACATTCTGAATCACCCGCTAAGAGAATTGTTAGAATGTCCAATTTGTGCAATTTACTATGAAACACTAAAATCACTTATAAATTCATACCTTTTGCCCATGAAGATCAACTTTACTTTAGCCAATCTGAGTAGCAGAAAGTAGTCTAAATTATGCCCATTGAGAAGTTGTCATATAATAATTAGGGTTGTAAGTAAAGTTTTAAACCTGAAATTGGCATGCTTGAAGTCCACAAACTGTGTGCACCAGGCACCTGCAACATGCTAACAAAGCCTGATTCCACAGTCTCTTTACAAGGTCTGATGTTTAACCCAGTTCATGTCATTTTGTGTCTGTTTTCTTTCCCAAGGACATTAGTAAAACAAACATGATTAAGAAGAAATTGAAGCCCAATACACATAAGGAAAAATAGCAAAAGACATAGCCATCATATGGTAGTAAGGGTACTGGAGATAAAATCAGAGGATTTGGGTTCAAATCCTGCCTCTGTTGTTCTGTGGCCTTGGGTCTATCACTTAACCTCTGTGGACCTTGATTCCATCTCAGAAATGAAAGGGTTGGATTAGACAGCCCTCAAATTCCCTTCCCAATCTAAATGTGTGATCCTTTGCAGCTATTGTAAAATGAAGTCTGATGTAAAAAGTTCCAGGGACTTGAAATAGGCAAATATCCCAATTTTCCAAAAGGAGAAAAACGTGGATTCCACAGACTATATAGTTCAGTGAATCTAACATTTGTCCCTGATAAAAATTCTAAAAGAGGTGATTAAGAGCTGAGAAGTTGATCACTTAGAAAAGAAATCAGTGATCAGTAGGGGTCAACATGAATTTAGTAAGAAAAAGTCACACTAAACTAACCTCATTCACTTTTTTAATAGAGTTACTAGAACAAGACGCCCTACCAGTCTGCTAGCCTCCATGAAGTCCTGGAGTAGGCTCTAATAGCAGTGGCCTCAGCTTTGTGGGCTCTTACATCTCTCTCAAGGAGGTCTTCCCCTCTCCCAGAGAGTCCAGAAAGGTCTTTACCTAGTGAGGCAAAGGATCCTGGCTGCCAACCCCCCCAGCCCAAGAGGAGAGGAAAAGGGGGGTAGCACTCTCAGAGCAAACTCATTCTTCCTTATCCTCAGATCTCCTGACTCTTGGGTCTCTAGTGAAGCAGTTGACTGTCAAGCCATGCTCAGCAAGCCATGGAAAGAATCCACACCCCAAGTACATTCAAAATGTTGATGAATAATGTGTACTTCAGTGAACATTTCTTGCCTCTTTTATTTCTTGCCTGTCATATAGGAGCTAAGTGATCCATTGCTAAGAGTTGTCCTTTCTCCCCCTTATTTTGTAGAGTCTTCTTCTGCTTTTCTCTTTGTCCCACAGAAGTGATTCTTTCGGATGAGGTGCACCCAAAGTCAAATAATCCTGCAGCCCACCTGCATCTGGGGGGGCGGGGTCCCCTTAGGGGAAAAACATCAAGGCAGGAGAGAGCTGGCAGACCTGGTTCATGGGTTGGTTAGTTTGACCACTTGTTTTTTCTCCTTTTTATTTTTTGTTTCAGGGGATGAGTCAGTAGGAGAATGGGGGAAATATATTTAGAAATGATGGTGATAGATAAATGTTTTCAAAAATTTTAACTTAATTTTAAAGAAATATATTAAAATGAATTCTTTAAAAACAAGAAAGAAGTGCTATGAGTTTTAGTGTACTGCAAGCTTTATATATGTCAGTAATATACGGTGGCAACAAAAAAAATTAATGCAATCTTAGTCTGTTTTATTAGAGGTGCCATAAGATAAGCCTTATATAAACCAAAATATTTATGAGCACTTTTTGTAGTAGCAAAGAATTGTAAACAAAGTAGCTGCCCATCAATTGAAGAATGGCTAAACAAATTGCGGTGCATAAACTTAATGGAATCTTATTATGTCATAAGAAACAGCACCCCTCCTGGATCACTGCCTCATCATGGCAGGGGGGCTTGCGTAGCTCCGTAAATTATGAGCTATGCCATGCAAGGTTACCCAAGACACACAGCTGGAGATTTTTGATAAAAGATGATCCACTGGAAAAGGAAATCACAAAGCAATCCAGTATCTTTGCAAAGAATACCCCATTGAAAGGCATGTTATGGGCCACGGGGTCATGAAGAGTCAGACATGACTGAATGGCTCAATAACAACAAAGAAACAAGTATAAAGAACTCAGAAAAGCATGGGAAGATGTATATAAACTTATGAAGGGAGAAGGAAGCAGAACCAGGAAAACATTATACATAGTAACTAAATAGTATAAGTGGAGAGGGGGAAAAAACTTGAAATTGAATATTGTGTGATTGTAATGACCTAGCTTAGTCCAAGAGAAGAGTTCAGGAAATGAAACTACCCCCTTTAATTGCTTTGGTGGGTATTATATTGTTTATACTGTTAGACACAGTTGATGTGGTTTTTTTGCTAAACTGCTTTTTTGTCCTCTTCTTAAAATTTTGATTACAAACAATGCCTGAGTAGAAGAGAGGAAAGAAACTCAGAAACAGATTCTTCAATAAAAAGATTTAAAATGTTTGTAAAGAGAGAGGTGCAGTGTTCTGAGCTATAGAGCAGTAATCCCTCTGTGATCTGTCCTGGTCAGACTTCATTTGGAGTATCACATTCGATTCTGGGCACCACACTTTATGAAAAACATTGGTAAGCTAGAGAGCTCCCATGTATAGGAGAACAACAGAAATAATGGAGAACCTTGAGATTATGCCACATGAAGACTGCTCGAAGAAACTGGGGATGCTTAGCCTTAAGAATAGAGGACTTAGGGGGATGTGGTACATGTCTTCAGGTATTGAAGGATTGTCATCTGGAAAGAGATGAAACTTTTTCTGCTGAGCTCAGAGGATATAACAGGACCAATAGGTAAAATTTGCAAAGAAAGCATATTAAGACTTGATGTAAGAAAAAACTTAGGTGGGCTGTGTCAAGGGGTGGCACATTCTTTTTCATTAGTGTTCTTCAAAGGCCGAATAATCACTCATTTGGTCAATTATAGGGGAGATTCAGCTTCAGATATAAGTGGGAGTAGGTGGGCTCTGAGGTTCCTTTCAATTCTGTTATGCTAGGATTGTTTAACATGTGTAACAGGACATTTTCTTAGAGGGGATCCTTTAAGGCTACTTTTTTTTTCCATACCAAGTCAAATACTTTCTTATAATCAAAAAAACACATCAGAATCTGGTATTCTCTACAACTTTCAGTCAGTTGTATGACTGAAGATATGGTATGGTATAAAGAATTATAAAAGTCCACCCTATTGTCTTTTTGTATTTTCATCAAAGATTCTTATTGTGTCATCTTTCTAATAAAGCCTTTCTAGAGATTAGAAAGTAGACATGGGTTATTAGTTAATAATTACCTTTCAATTAGGGTAATTATATCCTTTTTTTTTCTGTCCTTGAATATCTTCCCCTCTTGAAAATTGATTTTTCGGTGCTTTCAATACTGTCAAAACCAGCATGGATTTCTTCTCTGTGCCCTCAATCTGGTCCAGCTACTCTTCCTGTCTTGATATCTTTTAGTGCCAATTCTGTTTCCTCAAATAACATTAAGGCTTTAGTCTAAATGTAGTATCATTGATGATTAAAATAATTTGTTATAGAAATATTAATAGATCTGTTTGTTGTCCTTCCAGTTTCAGCTATATATACTTTTGGAATGGCCTGGGTTATTTGGGTCTCACATGAAGCTTTCTGCAGACTCATTTTTCCTCCACCACTCTCAGCTGTTTTATTAATCAATCTACCCTGTGATTTTAAACCATCCTCCTCTCTAAGATTTTGCAAATGAGTTTATATCCTATCTTGGCATTCTCCTTGATTACCACAAGTCTTTGCTTGGCAGGAAGGTCAAATGTTTGCTGGCCTTACTGGTTTCCAGACACTTTTTGCCTCCTTATTACGATAACTTCTTAATATTGATAAAACTTCTACAGAGTAACTCCTTTAAAAGCTCCACAGTTGTTTCTTTGAATGATATATCATTCCCTCAGGCAATCCTGATTTGTCTTGGAACACTATACTATTGTAATTTCACATCTCTAACTGTCAGTGTGTGTAGCTTATTTAGAGGTGCTATATCCCAAAAGTCTTAGTGCAGTTTTAGGCTAAAAATCTTAAAATAAGCTTAAAACTGCATTTAACTTTTGGGACTCTACGTTATTTGTAGGTGGTATATTGTACACTTGTGGAAAGTGTGTAATGCCTGTTAAAGTATGCATGCTACGTAGGAGGTATTTGTTAGAGGTTAAATTAGAATAGTTATTAACTTGAAACTAAGGGGGTACATTGGTACCCTGAATTACTAAAAGTATAAGATAAAAACCATGAAAAAGTGGTATATCTTAGAAATATTTTAAGTGTCCTATAAAAAGGGTCTAGGATCTGTTTAGGTGGAATAAGTATACATATCAATAAAACCATGGATTTTTCAAGGTATCAAAGTAACTATCAATTTGAGAATTGAATGACATTTAATTTTCAACATATCTGAAAAAAGGGAAAAAATATTGAAGGATGGGGGAAAACCATTAAAGGAATTATCCAAAAAAGGCATTTGAAGATGTTCAGTGAGATCTCTTTTATCACCAAGTAGAACTAAAAGAAGGGGCTAGTGAAAGTGTTTACATGAAATAATTCTGGCCTTTTAAGAAATTCTAAACAGTTCAGTCTTCATTATCCATAGCAGTATGATAAATTAGTGGCATAGATTATCTTCTTGTACTTGGGGTGTGTCTGTCCCCCTGGTTTGGCCAGTGTCAGAAGCTAGGGACAGAAACACTTAGGAGATCAGGCTCAGAATGAAAGAGCAAGTTAGTCTGGGGAAAAACAACCATGGGGTGAGGCTCAGGGTGAGAAAGTGAAGGGGGGAAAGGTGGAGTCTGGCCTGACCTGCCAGGAAAATCCATCTCGTAGAATCTACTTCAAGCAGCCAAGCACAGCAGTGAAAATTGCCAGGCAAGAATTAAAGCTGCTTCTAATGGAGCCAGATCACTTATGTTCTGAAACCCAGGGACAAGAAATATCTTCCTAAGAATTTGTGATGGCAATGCAGGCTCGCCTAAACTTTGCCCAGAATGTCAAAGATACAGCATCTCCAAGGCGACTGGACTTGGAGGAAGCAGCCTCATGCTGGGGTTTGGAGAAGAAGGCTCCCCCTTATCTAACTGTATGTGTTCTAGTAGTACTTAATGATAAGTCCCTTAAATATCACTAAGATATTGATGAACAGCAAGTGAAAAGGTGAGGAAACCCTAGCCATACTTCTCTGTGGGTGGCCTAATCCTTGAGTATCCCAAAAAACAGGGAGACACGGTGATAGCCTGGAACCTGAAGGGGTGAACTCAGACCTGTAGGTGCAAGGCCTCTTACATGCTCTAGCACCTCACACTACCACAACAGAAATAGGATATGAATGTGTGGCGGGTGACAAGGATGATCTACACTGGGATAATCAAATGTGGATTCAATTTTTAATAGCTCATGGTGAATATTGAAGATAACTGTCAAATATGTTGATAGGTTTTTGCTGAAATGTTTTTTTTTCTCTTTTGATCTTTGTTAGAAGAGAAAGTTCGTTGGTAAGAGAACAAGGAGAAGGTTTTACTTGAAAATGAATATGATGTAAAAGCAAAGCACAGCAGCAGGAAAATAATAAACACTACTGATGACATTTTGTATTTTTGTTTTGTTTTGTTTTCAGGAAATGACTATACCATGGTGCTTAAGGAGAGCAGAACTTGTGTTTAAATGTGTGAAAGGTTAGTATTTCATAAAGAAAGCCCACATGGCCAACTCTTTGTCTTTATAAATTGTTGGCAAAAAGACCAACCCAAAAAGAGTGTTGAGTGTTGAAAGCTTCAGTCACAACCTACTACATGTGGCCTAGCTTGCAAACATTTTAGGAAGGACCACCTTCTTCCTTTGCCAGTCATAAAGTATAACAGCTTTATTAGCTCTTCTCTGATCTGTCCTTTACACCTTTCTCTGATTCTTGTCCACCTCTGCCTTTTATTATTATGAATATTGATCATGATGAATCACCTCACATTTGTATTTACCTGGCAAGGGAGATAATGTTATTTCCTTCTTAGAGATGAGTGATTGGGTCTCAGAGAGGTCATGGGCTTCTAATAAGTGGTCACTAGAACCAGACTCAGCTCTTCTCACTTCTAGTTTGGAGCACTTTCTCTTATGTCACATACCGCTTCTACTTGAACATTCACTTGGCAAACCCAGCCACAGATCATTAAATTAGCTCTCAGGAAATCTTTAGTAGCATTTTTGAAAAAAGCATTTTCTAAATGAAGTTGGCCACAGATACTTTGGGGTTTGAAATATGTTGACAGTGGTGATAATTGCTGGTTCGGGGGACCTAAGAGTACTTAGTATCTCTGAGATCAAGAAGGACTGAGTAAATTTTGGAGCCAAATTAAGAAAACTAAACCTATTTTCATACTGAAAAATTTCAACACATAGTAAGTGGGGTTTATTCATACATTAGTTAATGTTTTAAAGTGAAAATTATTGCAAGTATTGAAATTTTCTCCTGTAACTCCTACTCCTGTGGCATGAAACATCAAGGTTTCATAAAACCCAGTTTGGCAAACAATGTTATGAAGCTTTAGCAGAGTTGAGGGAAAACAAAGGAGAGGAGTGTATTGTCAGAATGGTACTTAACTGCTGCTGCTTCAAAATGACAAAAGGAACTGGGGGGACTAAGAAAAGTTTGTATCTGCCCTGAGACTTGGTGATTTCGTCAGGCAAATGGCTACTCAGAAAGCTGAGGAGAGATGGTGCCTCACAAAGAGAGCTTGAAATATCGACCTCTGCCCCCACTGTACTTGAGCAGTAGATTTGAAAGACCAATGCTCATAGTTTAGCTAAGCTTTCACTTGTTTTATTGTCAGGTTTCATGATGGAAATGGCTTCATGGGATGGTGGGATTTCTAGGACTGTACAGTTCCTGGTACCGCAGGTATGTTAATCAAGTCAGTATGACCCTACTCTAAGTCTGTTGCTCTAATAAAATACACTCTAGCTATGACTAGGCATACTCTTAGTAGCTTCCATTTCTTTAATAGAAGGAGTATTTGAATGCAGAAAAATGATTTAAGAGAGCACAGAATCAGTCTCACACTTAAGCATAATTTTTTCTTTCAAAAAGTTCTAAATTTTTATTGGTATTTTAGGTTTTTATACCTTCATTTCCAAATACCTACTTTTCTTCTGTCCTACTCAGCTAATCTTCCCTTGTAATAAAGATTTTAAAAGAAAGAAGGAGAAGGGAAGCAGTTAAACAAAATTCACTAACATACCACTTAAATGTGACAGGTTATATAATATTCCATTCTCATAATCTCCCACCTCTGAAACGAAGGGGGAAGGAGGTGCATTTTTTCATCTTTTCATGGACAGACTTAGTTGTTATTATTGATACAGTGTTCCGTTTCAGGTTTTTTATTTTTTCCATTTATCTCATTGTCATTATGTGTATTGTTTTCCTAGTTCTGCTTATTATTTCACTCTGTATCACATCATATGCCTTTCTATTGTGTGTGGTTTTCTATTCTAGTTTTCTCTCTGACTTTGACATATTTAGTACTGATACTACTCATTAAATAGCCTCTTTAACAGTTACCTTACAGTACCATATTTATTGATAGTAAATATCACAACATTTCTTTTCAAACAAATATTTCAGCATATTTTTAAGCCATGATTGAAATATAATTATCTAAATAATTTAGCTTATATGGAAAATTTTGTAAATGTCAAATTACTCAATGGTTTAATTTTTAAAGCTATGGTCTTGTAACAGATGTGAAGGCTTTTTCCTTACTTTTTACAGAGTATTTCTGAAGAAATGTTCTACCAGTTGAGTAACATGCTCCCGCAAATCTTCCGAGTGTCATCCACTCTCACATTGACATCTAAGCATTAAACTCTGCTTGGCCAGCAAGTTATGAAAGTGGGTTATTAAACGTTCTGTGTTTGAGGCAACACTGGAATTATCTGAAAGCTTAGGTGATGAGAATGTAACTGTACTGACATAAGTCAGCATTTGCTACATGAACCATTGTTCAGTTTTTAATTGACACATTGACATTTAAAAATCTACTCCTGTGATCAGTCCCTAAAACACCTTAATGAGACCAGTTGTTATATGTGGATTATATGTATACTGCACATTTTGCTTTCATCAGTTGAAAAGTCTTATTTGTTACACATGGACCCTTCATGTAGGAAGCTAACTGCATCTTTTTTTTTTTTGGTGGGGGTGGCAGGGAGGGAAGACATAACATTTTGTGACCTTGGAAAGATCTAAGTTATATTAGATATTAATTAGATCTTTCCCTCTTGGTAAAATAATGAAGCATTTAAATATCAGTCATGTGCAAGGCTTAACTGAAAATGAAATACCCCTTATACAGTACTTACCAAATAAAAATGAAAATAAACTGAAATATTAGTAACAAAGAGAGTCTGTGTGAAAATTTTTAGTAGAAATGATAGTCTGATATTTCAGTCTATCAACGAACATTTATTTGTAATCACCTACTATGTGTGGACACTCTACTAAGTGATCCAGATACAAAAACACAAGTGAAACAGTCCCTTTCCTCAAGGAAGTTACATCCACATGGGGAAGATAATATGTGCATATATCGGCATATGCAAAAAACATATCAAGTAAGTACAAGGTCACCTTAAAAGGGAAGGGAATCGTAGTTGAGGTGACTGGGAAAGACCTCTTGCAGACCTGCAGCACATGAGCTAAATCTTGAAGGAAACCTGGGCATAGAGGTGAGCAGGGAGAGCTCAAGGCATGGAGCATGGCCACTGCAAAGTCAGATATGGCAGATGGAGCATCACGTCTGAACAACAGCAAGTGAGTTGTTGTGGCTGGATGTAAGGAAGTAATGTGTGCTGAGGGCAGAAAAGAAGAAAGGGATCAAGTTGAGAAGAACTCAGAATGCCAAACTGAGGAGTTTCTGTTTGATCTTCTAGATGAGAGGGATCCCCCGTAGTATGTTGGGGTAGTGGGTGACATGGTCAGCCAAGGCTGAAAGAAAAACACTTTGTTGTGTGAAGGGTGGATTGGAGTGGTAAAAGACATGAAGCAGGGGGACCAATTTTTTTTTTAAATTTTAAACTTAGACGTGAGATAGAATGAACATTTCCATATTCAGAGTAGACCTTAGAAAAAAAAGGATTATATGTGAAACTGTAAATCAAAAGATTATGTACAGCTTGCTTTTCCTTTTATGTATATAATAAATTAAACATGTAACTTTCAAAGCTATATTTCCTCTATCCTTTCTGTTCTGTGCGTTTAAAAAAAATGCATTGATGAGTTCCTTTTTAAAAAAATTTGGTAATCCTATCACCAAATTACCCCTTTCCTACCTCCCCCACTGAAGAAAAAAATTAAAAGCAAAACCCTTCTAACAAATGTTCATAGCCAAACAAAATAAGTTCCCATATGAGCTGTATCTGAATATATATTTCTAATTCTTCACCATCAGGAAGACCGATTCAGTTACCTGAACCAGGTAAGAGGTGATAAGGGCCTGAACTAGTGTAGTAGCTGTATGAAAGACCTGAAGAAAAACAAGATTTGACAACTGATTGGATGAGTAGGATGAATGGGAGTGAGAGGTCAAGGATGACACCAGAGTTGTAAAACTGGGTAATTGGAAGGATGGTGGTGACCTTAATGATAATAGAGAAGTTAGGAAGAGGAATGGACTTGGGAAGAAAGATACATTCTTTTTTGGACATATTGAGTTTTCAATGCTTACAGGGTATCTGGTGGGAATTTGTTCAATATGTAGTTGGTGATGTGGGATTGAACTTCTAGAGAGAGACTAGAGATGCATATATAGATCTGGAATTCATGTGTATAGGAATGATAACTGAATACATGGGAACTGGTAAGATAGGCAAATTAGTATAGAGGAAGAAGAGAAGAGGCAAGATTGGAGTTTGACAAAATTTGACACAGGAACAAGGGAAAGAATATAGTATGGAGCTAAACTGGTTCTGAAGGGGCTGAGATTAGAAAAGTTTGTAGACAGAGCAGAGTTATGTCCTGGGAAAGTATGGAGGGATGGAAGGATTGGAGGTCATAGTGAGGGTAAAGGATAGACTTAGGGAATAAGGCAAGGAGCAGTGAAATGATGAAAGATTACAATTAGTTAAAGGGATTCCAGAGTTCTAGGACACTTCTAGATGATGGCAAGATCAAGGGTATGGCCATCACACTTTGTGTAGCTGAGGTAGAATAAAAGAGTGAGCCATAGGTGTTAAGTAGATTGAGAAACTGAAAAGTTAGAGCATGTGAGAGAACATCAGGGCAGCTAGATGCCTCGGGATAGAGCACTGGCCCTGGAGTCAGGGGAGAACATCAGATATACTAAAACCCTTTAGTTTGTGGACAGGAGGTGGGAAGAAAGGAAGATTTTGAGTCAGGCACTGAATTCATTGAGAAAGGAGGGAGAATGTCCAGGGTTTATAAAGAGCCATTAGGATCCTGAGTGAACCTCAAAGAAGAAGGAGTTGCTGAGTGATGACATTAAAGGAAGAATCTAGAAGTGGCAACAGAGAGCAAGGAGTATTTTCATCCTTATGCTAGGACCAATGAGGAGTGGGTATCAGGTAAGAGGGAAGGTATAACCAGTATTGCAAAGAATGGCCACAGATGTATGTCATCTGGTGCAAGCCAGTTCTCAGTGAGTGCCAGAAGATGGAAGGAATATGAGAAGAAGAAATGTAAAATGAAAGGAAGTTTGTTGATTACAGAACAGGTATTCCAGAGAGCACAGTGGAAATGAGGCACAGAATATGAGGACAGTGTTAGGGTTGAAGTAGATAGGAATGAGAGATTGGACTCCAGAGGTTGGAATGTTCAACTCCACTAGAGAAGAATAAGCAGGTGAAGAGTATGCTAATCACTAATAAGTCCATGGAGAATATCAGTGGGTAGGAGGAGTTACACAGATGAGGAAAGGTGATCAGAACGTTCTGAATCTCTGCATGGCCTACCTAGACTCTAAGCAGCCATATGGTGTTCCAAAGGCATCGCTCACCCAAATGGACTTCACCATGTTGAACTGAGGGGAAGGGAGAATAGAATGCATCCTGAAGTTCCACTTCGACCTGAACACAAACAGGGCCCAGGATTGTTGGGTGTCCGAGCTGTCCAGAAGTCCTGTAGTATATTGCCAAGGTTTTATGAGTTTAGCATACTGAAGGGAACTAAAGTTTGAGAGTAATCCTTGCTTAGTTTATCTGGTAGGCTAGTAAATGATGCTTATTTGGCAGCTTAATGTAAATCAGTCTGAAACAGTGATCCACAGTAGGATTTTCATGCTTAGCAAACTTGTGGCAGTCAGGTCACTGTGTTTGTGATGTGATTTAATTTCTCTTTTCCATGTTTTTACCCTCCCCCTGCCTACTCCCTTTTCTTCTCCTATAGCATTTTACACCTTCCTTGTATGCAACCTTCTGCTTTCTCAGGCTTATCTATTTCTTTCTCCTTTTCTACCCACTATTTGATCTTCTCTTTCTCTTCTGCCTTTGCTACTTCTCTCTCTGCTTCGTTGCTTTCTCTGCCCATTCCTACCTTCCACTTCTGGGTGCCCATTCCTACCTTCCACAACTTTTTCAGCTGCCTCCCGCAGATAATTCACCACATTTGTGGTATGTGCACCAAGAGAAGTGATCACATTGAACATTCTTAATAAGAAGACAAATATGGAAACAGGAGCTCAATTAAATCAGATGTAGCTACCTCAGTTATTCCCCAACCCCTCTTAATTCTTATGCCTTCCCTCTGTTAATAATTTCCTATTTATCCTATGTATAGCTTGCTTTGTTTACATTTGTTTGCATATTGTCTTCCCCATTATATTGTAAGCTCCTTGAGGTCAGGGACTCTTTTTGTATCTTTTTATATATATAAAATTTTTATATATATTTATATATAATATATATAAGATATATATAAAGATATATATATTTTTTATATCCCTTATGCTTAGCATAGCACCTGGCACATAATAGGCACATAATAAATGTTTATTGATTGATTGACCAAGTGAGATAACACGTTAAGTACTTCGCAAACCTTAAAGTGCTATACAAATGCTAGTGATCATTATTATTGGGGTATATGGGGTGTTCAGGCTCTGGTGTGCAGGCTTACAGCCCTTTTCAGGGCTACTTATCCACCTTTAGTGTCCACCTGATTCTCCCAACTTGCACCTGTGACTCCAAGAAGTTGTAGCATGCACAGCGGCTACACCTCAGTATAGGGTAACCAACAGGCCCCAAACCTGTCAATGAGTTAGGGGGATATCGACTCCCCAAATGTGAAGTCTTTCCCTGGAGGAATGGGTAGATGAGAATAGCTTGTTCCAATGGTCCTGAAGGTGGCTGAAGCAGATGCTATGGAGCACTTAGGGCATGGTCAAACATCAAAAACACCAAGGGCATCCCGGGCCATCACCAATTGTCCTGACTTTTGTCTTGCCACTGAACTTCAATGACTGGAAAAGAGGGTGAAACGGATGACTTTATGCAGCTCTGCCTCACTTAAATACAATTCACACCCAAGGCAAAACATCACCAGTGATGTCATTGGTCTTCGAGAACTAAGGACAAACAAGAACATCATTATTATTACAACTGGGCAAAATTGTAAAATGAAGTCTATTTCAGAGTGTATTTTTTCCCACTGAAGGATAACAAAGTGTTAAAGACAAGAAGTATACTGTACTGGTGCCTGGCTAGATTCACACACAGTTATCCTGATTTCAAGAAACAGTAAGTTACTTTCTGAATATGCTCTTGTAATGGTCTGTTAGAATACTTCAAATTCTTATTGTCTTCTTCCATTGTTATTCACAAATACATGTCTCTTGTGAAATGATTGTCTTACTTATCTATGTGAGGGGCCTGAAGCATAAAGGCAGATTCCCAGAGTGTAGGAGAACTCAGTTCCCCAAACTCGCTGTCTAGCACAAGTGAACAGTTCTGCAGATCTCTACATAAAGTGATTCTTCTGTAATATGAATTTGCTCCAGACATGGGGAAAGGAGGGAGTCAGGAAAGTAGCTACTAGCTCCTTGAGGGAGGGGACTGGCAAACGGTTCAACGACACATGGGAGCCAGGGACTGAGAAATGAGAGCAGGAGGAGGAATACGTTGGGGCTGGGGCCAGCCACATGGGGGCCTGGCTGAATGGAAAGGAAGAAGGGGGAGAAGAGAAAGTGGGGACTGGACAGGGATACAGACTAAGCAGGACAGATTTGCAGAGGGGGTGAAGTTCTCCTCTCCTGTCTCTCCACCCCTCTGTTCTTCTGCTTTCACATGGAAGTGATTTATTTTAGGGGAGGATTTGGGTGGGGGACAGAAGGTCAGTGAACCCCAAGCCAAGGAGCAGAAGCAGAGAGCACAGTACTGTAAAGTTAACG